ACCCCAACCCCAACCCCATATTTTATTAAATTATTAAAAATATAAAAAATAAGTTTGTTTTTTAAGAATTTGCTAAATCAATCAATAAATATTAATATGTATTGCAAACTAATCAAACTTTACTAAAAGATAACTAATAAAATAGTTTAAATAAATAAATAAAATAAACTAAATTAATTAAAATGAATTTGATCAAATTTTTAAATTAATTAAAAGTAATTTAAATAAATTAAAAAAAAGTCTTAAAATAGTCTGCATTTTAATTAACATAATTGTTTCCAAAAATATGAAGAAGTTAAATGATCAATTTTTTTTTACAATTTATCATAAAGAATTAAATTTTAAATCCATTCCTTCTGTAATCAAGCTAAATTATTTTTTACTTTTTATGTAAAAAAATTAATTCTACTTTCAAAACAATTTTTATGATCAATTATGAATATTCTTAAGACAAAGTGAATACAATAATTGATTAAACAAACTTTTCTTAAATACTATATTCTATGCTTGCTAATATTTAGAGCGGATTTTAATATATTTATTATCATTTTGCATAAAATAGTAAGATGCTATATTTCATTTTTAAAAAATAAATCTAAAATTGGCAATTATTTTGGATAGAATTATATTTGAAATATATTAAAAAATTAAATTTCAAATGAGGTCTTAATAGTAACTATCAGATATCTAAAAGCTTAAAAAATGAATTAAATTGATAAATATAGTTAGTGATGAAATCGAAAACGAAAAAGGAGAAAAATGAATTGAACACAAAGTAAGTAATTGAAAATAACAAGGAGATGTGTGTATAAATATTTTGCATAAAGATTATCAGTATTAAAAGAAGCGAATTCATTAAAAAAGAAAAGAAGAGAGAATAGTAAATTATTGAAAATATTACTATTTAATTAATTAATTTCAATCAAAAAGGGATTTTAATAACAATTATAAATAAAAATTGAATATTTAAGATTTCATTAGTAAAGAAAAAGAATAATACTTTCTTGCATAAAATAATTAAATAAATAAATTAATAAATAATTGATTTAATTAATATAAAAATCAACAAAAGTCTATCATATAAATGGATATCGAAGGTCAACACGGTAATTAAGGTGAATTAGCAGGAAATATTTAGTTGTTAGATAACGAATAGCCTTAGGGTATTTCTAGCGCTTAATACTAAAAGTCTGAATAAAAGGCCACATCAACTCTTGATGAACCCGTTTCAGAAACAATTGTAAAATATTAATTAGCAAGAAAAATACTATTTTAAATTGAAAAAAAATCGATAAATAACAAGCATTTAATTTATATTTTAAAATGATTGAATGAAACATAAATTTGTGATATCTAAAACATTTTATAAAAACTAGCTTAGAGATTTGAGAATGATTGGATACAAATTGAAATACGTTTTACTTCCTAAAATGAAAGAAGATAAAGGAAAAGAATTGAGAAATTGTAAATTTTACTATTTGAATTTACTGAGTTTAGTTCAAACAAAATTTTAATTAGAATACAAGTTAATATTCATATTTTTTAACCTTAGGGGATTTATGGGGACCTCTTCTATTGTGCTTATGTCTTGCCATGTAAAATATTGATTTTTTTTCTTATGTGTTTTAAAATTTGAACAAAAAAATAATAATTATTATGTTTGTTAATTATTTCTATTTAAAAAAAGCACTTTAAGTATTGCCACTTCTAGCCAAGCTGAAACAGTTTTTGCCATTATTTTTGTAGTTGTTTGGATAGGTGCTGGTGTAGTTACACTCAATGCTAAGTTATTAGGTGGAAAAATGTAAATAATTAATAATTTATAATTTAATGCACGATATGCTCAAATAATTATTGTTTGCTTGCTGCTGTTAAAATTTCTCCTAATTTGATATTTATTTTCAAATGAACTTAAAATGCATAAAAAACTAGATTTTATTTATTTTGATGCAAGTAATAATTAAACTATCTTTAAAAATCTAAAAAAGGAGAAACGTACGTAATAGATATAGCATAATCAAACATAATTTTCTATTTCATAAATAAATAAAAAAAAAGCAATTAATTTTATTAGAAAATTTCGATATTATTTTTCTTTGATAAATCAGTGCTTCTTTCATTTTTATAATTTAATTTAACTTTTTTATAATATTAATTGTTTATAAAAAGTTCCTTCTTCTAGTCTGTATGTGTATTGGGATATTGCATTTTTCCTATTAATATAGCTTCCTTTATTTCCTTATTTTTACCTAAAGGATATACTGTGTTATTTATAGTTAAGGCATGTATTTGTGGTTTGAGCTTCTTATGGTCTACAAGAGGTATTTTATATAAATATTAAAATTAATTTATAAATATTATTAAAAACGAAATTTAGCTTCAGTACCATTCATGGGAACCTTAGTAAGTGAAGAAAAGAAATTTTTGGCTGTTTACCCTGTATTTTTATTCTATCTTTTCTTGAGTTGGTTTGCTTTAGTTGCCTGAGAACGAATCAATCTATATTTATCAATTAAAATAAAATAAATTAAATAACAAAATCAGAAGATAGTAATGAGACTCGCTTTAAGTAAATCTCTACAAAAATTTACAAAATTCTAATACAGTACAAATTAAATAACTATTATTATCTATTAATATTCATAAATTGTGCATTATCTGTTAAAAATCTATCTTGATGATTGAAAGCTGTTTAATCCTTTTTCATTAAAATAAAGTTAAATAACTTTTTATGATTTATATTTAAATATAGCATTTCAAAAAATTAAAACAAATTAAAAGGATAAATCAAAAATAATTTTAAATATACAAATTATTTAAATGAAATTGCTAAAAAAATTGATTAATTATTTTATCTTTAATTTGAGTTGGTTTTATTTTTAAAAATTTTAATTTTGTCATTTTTTATTATAAAATCAAATATTGAATAAATTTTCTTTCAAACATTTTAAAGTTAAAAATTTTTAACTCCTATTTTATTTAGGCTTTGCATATTTTCAGAATTTTATTAATTTTAACTAAGTTTGCTGAAAAATATTTTAAAGGTTTTATGCTTTAGCTTTTAAATATATTTTTTGTTAAAATAAATGCAAAATATTTGATATTTTAATTAGTTTAAATGCTACTATTTAGTTTTGTAGGAAAGTTAATTTTTAGGATGAGAGAAAAAAAATAGCTTTATTTGTTTTTTAAGATTTGTAATATTAATATAATTTAATTGTTGAGCCTAATCTAATATATTTTTTTTAAAAGTTTTTTATATTTCTAAATAAAATTCATTAATTTAGTAAAAAAATTAATTAAAAATTAACTTATATTTTTGTTATTTGAATTAATAGAAAAATATTTTGAAAAAAAATGAAAAATAATTAAAATGCTTTTATTTCTTTCTATAAAGAATATAAAATATGAACTCCTTGAATTGAATTTATATATGTAGTTTAAGAGTAAGCAGTTTACATATATATAAATAGTAAAAATCAATCATTATTTAAGTTTATTATTTAAGAGGACATCATAAACGATAGCAAAATCTTTACGATTAAGTCCCAATTCAACCAATTTTTAGTAAATATCTTTTGCATGGTTACCAAGAGGAACATCAGCAGAAGCTTGTTTTGCAGCATCAGCAGCTAATCCTAAATCCTTAAGCATAAGTTCACAAGCAAAACCTCCTTCATAACCCTTAGAAGCAGGAACATTTTCTAATACGCCAGGGCAAGGGTTATAGACTTCACTACTCCAGCATCTACCAGATGCAGTATTCATGATTGATGAAAGAACCTATTTTATTATTTATTAGTTTATTTATTTTAAAAATGGAAATTAATAAATAAATAAATAAAAAGACAAAAAATATATTTATTTATAACAGTTTTTTAAAAAAAATAATTTTTTTGATTGAAAATGATAGCATAATTTAATTCTCATAATATTTGTTCTACTAATAATTTTATTTATGTCTTTTAGAATATTTTAATGACTAATATAAATATAAAATTGTTTACTTTAGGGTCGATACCAAGCTTTTTGCCCAAGGAGATAGCTTCTGCAACGGCTATCATTTCAATACCAAGAGCCATGTTATTGCAAATTTTAGCAATAGATCCAGCACCAGGTTTTTCACAGTTGGCGATATTTTTACCCATGTGTTAAAGAAGATTTTTGCATTCTTAGAAGAGTTCCTTATTTTCAGCACCAACCATAAAAGTGAGAGTACCAGCTGTTGCAGCACCAACACCACCACTAACAGGAGCATCAATGTAACGTTGATTGACCTTCTTAGCATTTTCGTAGATCTTTATAGCAGCATGATAAGAAATTGTAGATGAATCAATAAACAAACTATTTTTTGCACTCTTTTAGAATAATCCATTTTCCCCTTCTAAGACACTGCTAACATGGGAAGAGTTAGGAAGCATTGTAACGAACTTGTTAGCTTTACGTGCCAATACTGTAACATCTTCACAAACAGCTAAACCTTCTTTAGCATATTTCTTCAAAGAATCTTTATTTACATCAAAAGCAATAACTTCAAAGCCACCTTTTCTAGCTAAATTAAGAGCCATAGGGCCACCCATATTTCCCAAACCGATGAAACCAACAGTTTCTGCTCTGAGATATTAGGAGTTATTTAAGGAACGAGCGATTCTTCTCATTGTAAAAGCTATCTGCTACTATTTATTTATTGATGTTAAAATTTAGTATTTTTTAATTGATTTTATTATTATATTAAAAATTGATCTTCTTCTGATGCTTTTATAATATATTTGTTATGTTAAATAAAAATATCAGATTTACAAAACAATTAATAAGAAATATCTTTTTTTATTGGAAATTGTTAATTCATATCCATGTGATAGCTATACTATTCATTAAGATGGCAATATTAGATCACCTTTATCCTTAATACAATCCAAATGACCTTAAAATGTGAAATTATTCTCTAAGAAGATACGTATTTTGTATTTTCAATGTTATTCAGATTTATTTACAAAACTTATAAATCTTTAGACATTTCATAGTAGTTAAATAAATAATCTTACACTTTTATTTACTAAAAATATGATATGCTCATCAAAAAATGTAATATATTAATATGATCCTTAAGGTATTATTAAATTTCCTTTTTAATTCTCAAATAAAATTAAAATCGACTAGCAACTTTTATGATAGATTGATTTAACTAAATAGTTTATGTATATTATTTTGTATTAAAATATATTTTTAACATAAAATTAATAAAAATTAATGATATTGATTAGTTTATTCAGACAGACAGACAATTTTTATAGTTTTTAAAGTAAATCTTTAATTAGAATAATCTAATTATTATTGTTTTTGTGTGTAATATTATAAATATAATTTTTTTAATAAAATTAATAGTATATTAATAAAAAATATAATTATTTTTATTTGAAATAATAATTATGCTCTCACTTTTAACTAGTTTTATATTTTCAATATTTTTCATACATAATTCCATCAGTTTCCCTAATCCTATAAACCTTTGAAATTAATAATTTTTATAAAAAATTTGAAAAAATTAAAAAAGGTACTATAAATTTTTCTATCTATATAAATAAATTTTAATGGTTAATGTTAATAGATAAGATTATTATTTAAAAATTATTTTTTTAAATTTATTTAAATTATTCTTTTAAGACTAGATAGATATTTAAGTATTAAAGCTAATAAAAAAGCAAAATATTTAAAAAAAGAATATGCTTAAAAATCATTTTTATTAAAAAATATTTTATTAAAGTTTTAAGTTTTAATAATTTAATAATAACCTCTTAATGTATGATTATTTTCAAGAGGTTTTATTTAGTTTTTTAAGTAAAATAAAATTATTTTTTACTAATCGATTTAAATCATAAAGTATAATTAATATAAACAGAACAATTTATTTACTTTGATATGAACTTAATGAACAAATATTTTATAATTAAAAGCATATATTAAGTAAAATTATAAAAATTAATTGTATTGATTTTCATTAATGGCCACATCTATTAATTTAAAAATTGAAACAACTTAATGAACTAATTTTGTTATATGAAAATAGATAATCAACCTAAAATTTATTTTTAATAATACAAATATTTAAATACATGAGATTAATGCTTGAATCTATTTACTTATTATATTTAATTGTAAAATTTGAGCTAAGACTTTGTATAAAAAACTAATTAGTTTTTTTATCGAAAAAAGTTTTTTTAAAATTAATTAAGTTATTAATTATTAACGTAATTACTAAATAATAAATCAAAAATATAAAACTAATTAAGAGTTTTTATTAATTTCCCATAAAAAAAAGAGTAAATTTATTTATTTATTAAATTATGCTTTTCTACTTTATGAACCAATTAGAAATTATAAAAATTTTAAACAGTATAGAATAAATAGCTAAATATAGTCATGGCACTTCTTTATTGCTAATTCCAAATTGATATTTAAGAATAAAACACAAAAAAATGATTTGTTTAAAAACTTTTATATAAAATACAAACCCATGTATTTGCTTGTTTTACCAGCTTACTTAACTTAATGTACTGAATAAGTTATAAAATAATCATATAATTATTCTCTATTTGGTGATAGGTATGAACGAATTTGAAGTGGAGTTTTTATTAAAAACTGATATATTTATCAATTGTTACTTTAATATTCACAGTTTTATTAGCGGATCAAATTTTTGAGAAATTTTATGAAATATTACAATTAATATTTATATTAGTTGATGAATTAAATACCTTTAAAAATACTCAACGCATGAATAAGATATTAGTTTTTTGTGAATTAAATTTTTAATCATAAAAAAAATCAAAAAAGTTATATGATCGAGCTTTGCATATATTTGAATTAAGGTAATAATTTTATTTAAATATGTATGTATATGCAATTATATAAAAATATATATTTATATATCAATTTGAGGAATAATTTAAGCAAAATTTGTAAAAATTTTAAGTATTTAGTTAGTCGATTATGAAAATTAATAGTAATTAATGTAAGTGAGATTAGTAATTAGTGGTAGGTAGTTCATTTATTTATTAATGTATTTATATTTTCATTCATTTATTTATTTTAGTAAAATTTGTTGTGGGAGATGAGCTTGGGCTACTGCAGGAAAAAACAATTTTTACACAAGGAGATTTTTCTTGAGTTTATCTTTAAGATATTAAGTTATTCAAGTATTATTATTGTTGTTAGTTATAGGAATTATGAGCAAGATATTTATTTAAGATTTAATATGTGTTTTTAAGAATTTCGGAAGCTATAAATCTGAATGATTCATGATGAAGCATAAAAGTTTTAGCGCTTTCATTACTGGAATGCTAATTTTAACTGAGTTTAAATTCATCTTCGCAGATAGAGAGAAGACCTTCATTTTTACTGAAAAAGAAAGTATTTAGATAAACTACGTTATTTTAAGAGAAATCAACAGATTTAGCAAAATCCTTAAATGAAGAAAGAATCAAATTAATAGAAAGTAGAGAATACATTCTAGCTTCGAAGCTGAGTTATGACTTAAATTTATTAAAGGATTTATGATGAGCGAAGGTGATTTAATCTAAATAAGTGGGGAGATTTCCTGCGCATAATGTAAAATTTTATTAAAGAATTCTTCTATATGCAATTAAGTGAAAAATTTAATTTTTCTATGCTAAAAGATTTGAGAAGTTATCAATTAAATCTCCAGATTCTGAATCAATTGATGGTTAGATTTATTGTTATTAATTTGATGATGCTGTTTGAGAATCTTCTAATTTTAATTGGAATATGAGGCAATCTGAATCTGTGCATGTCGATGCCAATAACTCTTTGTCCTTGTTGGTAAATTTTAGAATAAGATTAATCCAATCCAATACATGCAAGTGTGTGTATAGAGGAAATCTATTCATGTTACTTTTTAAATAGTCTTAGAATCTTTTTACATATTTTTTAAATTTATCTGCAGTTTAAGGTCTCAAGGATGAAAATTAAAGGGAACTCAATCTTTGATCGAGAAGCAGAAATTCTAGACAGTACATAAAAACTTTTAAAAGTATTTTACAGTTAGTAGAATCTAATTTCTGCATCTACAAAAAATTTTCGAAATAAGGTATAATTTCTCCATCTAGGTCAATAGCTCTCTCTTTTGTAAGTTCAATTATGAGATCTTCTGTCGTACATATTTCTTCCAAGTGAGTAACTTCTGTCAATCTTTTTTAGCTGTGTACATTATATTGTCCATTTTAGTTCATTTATTAGTTTTGATTCATTTTAGTAGAAACGCATCCTCCTCCTAAAAGGGTGACTTCGTTACACTTCTTGATGCATTTCATATCATTCGAGATACTAAAATGATGTTGTAAAGATTGGAATTATAATTAATCTCCAAGTTTTAATTTGTTTTTTACTAAGTTTATAATATAAGAAGCAGCTGTAAAAGATAAGAATGTTTAATTAGTCTTATTTGTTAATTTGTTAGTAGAAGTGCATTGAATGACCTTTCCTAGAGATATATCAATTAAAAGTTAACTTTTCATATTCTAGTTCCATTCCAAATAAATATTCAAAAGTTTTTGTTTCATATTTATAATTTATATTGAGTAAGTTATTAGAATATTTGTAAATATTAAATTTTAATTATTGTATGTTTTTTTTTTTTAAAGTTAAAATTTGATTGATATTTATTTTGTATTTTACTTTTTTTTTTTCAGCAAAATGTATTTTTTTTTAATTAATGTTGTTTATTTTTTTCTTTTGATTTATCAGTTTAATAACTTTGGTTTGCAACTTCTTTAATTTATTTTTTTGAATGAAAATCAGTACTTTCTTGCATTATTAATCTATTATGATGATTAGATATTAATAAGTGATATAAATAAGTGAATGATTATTGTTTCTATTTACTTTCTCTTATTTTTAGTACTCTCTAAATTAATTTAAAAGGAATACCTTTTTAAATACGAGTAAATGTTGTCTATAAATAAAGGCAAAGAGAATATCAAATAAATTACAGATTTATCTTCTTTTTTATAAGTTTTTTTCTTCGTACAATTATTAGTAAGGTATAAAAGAAAGGAAAAAAGTCAATTAAATGTTTAAAAATTCCTCACGTTTTTAATTATTATAATAGTAATTAAGGTAAAAGCTAAATAAAAGAGATTGATGAATTTACAAAATAAAAAATTAGATTACTAAAACAAAATTAAAAAGATCTGTGAATTTAAAAATATAAAAAATAATTGAATAGGCTGACTTAGTTTATTTTTCCAAGTTATTTAAAGATAATACTTACACTTTTGCTTTTGGACTCTTTTATTTCTTGGAGATCAAAGAGTACTCTAAAAGTATAAACTAATAATTAAAAACATACAATCGTCTTCATTAAGTAATATTTAATAAAAAAGAAAAAAGGAACAAACAAATATTTCTTTTTTAAATGTGAGTCAGATTTAAACAAAAGTATGAAGTTTACTTTTATTTAGTAAAAAAAAAATTAATTGAATAGCTCTTGTCTATACTAATGAATGTACAAAATTTGATTAAGTAACGAACGCACAATCTATTTTTATCTTTTTTTATAAATATCTAAATTTGTAAATTCGTTATGAACAATAAATTAGTTTATCAAAACTAACTTAAATGAGTTAGAAATGGCTTTTGATTTTGTCTTTAGATAATATTTTTTAAATTTTATGATGTTTATTGTTTTTTTCTGCAAATATACTTTTTTTTAATAAACAAACAAACAAATAAATATAAAATTAAAGAGAGAAAAAAAGAAGAGAGCTATTAGATTAATTATTATAAATACCCCTAAAAGAAAAGACCATACATATATTTTATATTTCACTCTTCAAAACTCTAAATAAAATTTATTCTTACACAGATAACTATTGAGTTGTACAATTTAAAAAAAATTAAATTTTAACTTTAATTCTTGAAAATTTCTCACAAAATATTTACATGTTACAATAAAATATCATTTTATAGACTTAAACATTAAGATCTCTTAAAATAGACTAAATATTTATTAAAAATAACAATTTGTTTCATTTTGTTTAAATTATTAATAAGAATTTCTCAGAAAAAGCTTTAATTATTCATATTACTATTAATGTAATTTCATGCAATTATATTAAATATGATAGATAATTTGCTTATAGATATAGACAAAAATTTGAATAATCAATACATCTATAATATACAATTATGGTCTATGAAATATTTAAAAGTAAGTTTATTTCCTATTAAATAAAGTTTACCAATTTCTATTTAAAAATCTACTTAATAAATTTGGTATTAAAAATAGATGAAAATTGCTATTTTAAAATATCTATCTTGTAAGTTATAGAAATATAAGAAACTCTAGATAAATATTTTGATCTTTTAATAAAATTTAATAAGAATTAAACTTAAGAATTTATTTTATTTTAAAGTTTTATAAAGAAAAAGAAATATTTTTTTTAATTTCTAATAATTAAGTTAATTTATATTTTGAAGATTTCCAAGTATTTTTGAAAAAATAAATAAAGATACCTCTTACCTAACTGTCTATCTATCTAACTATCTATTTCCAATTTATTTTATATCTTAAATTTAACATTTTTGAAGGTTAATTTTAATAATAATGTATCTTATTTTGTGAATTATTTCTAAATTAAAATTCCATAAAAATATGATGTTTTGCAAAAATAAAATGATTATATTCTCTTCTTTATATAAGTTTAATTAATTTTTAATAGGAAAAGACTACATAAAAGCATAATCAAAATTATTTCATTGATAATTCACTCAATTATTTTCAAAAATATTTCAAAAAATAAATAAAAATCCTGAGAGAAAAAACTTATGAGAATTAATTTTTAAAGTGAAAAAATAGGATTTATTTATTTTAATGCTAAAAAATATTTAGCAATTAAATGAATAAATTATAAATTATTTTAGAAGAGAAGCTAGTAAAAATTTATTTTAAATAATTTTAAGTAATTAAACCAATATTTAATTATAAACAAACAAAAAAGAAATGATCACTTCTCTTTTTCGTTATTAATTTGTCTTGTTTTAATGTAATATATTACTCTTTCTGACTTTTAATACAACAACCTAGAAAACACAGCTTTAATACATGATATTTATTCTGAGTAATATGTATTCGATAATATAATGTTTATCGCAAAATAACTAACCAATAAATCTTGCATTCATATATACATACATTCATACACTCTTAAGTTCTCATACATACTAATAAACTTGCATATAGCAAGCCGATTGATAGGCTGGCAGGTAGGTAGGTAAGAAAATAGGATGAATTAAAAGTTATTTATGAAATAAACAAAAGAATAAAAGCAAACGAACTGTCATAAATTTGTGATAATAAATAGAGAAAAAATAAATAAAGGAGTAGTAATTATTTTTAATATTTATAATTAAAAAGAAAGAGCATTCAATAGCCTTTTTTGATTATTAAAATTAAAAAATTAATATATACTATAACTCAACAAGCAAAAAAGAAGAAAGTAGGACGAAGGAGTGAGTAACAAAGACATAAATAAAACTAGAAAGTCCTAACAGTATAATTTAGCAAAAATGTCAAACGACGACACGGGCGTGCAAAATTTAGATGATTAGGATTCGAAGCGCTTTGGATATGGTATAGTTATTCATTTAAGCAATTTAAGAATCGTATGAAATCAGAAATTATTCCTAATATTATTTCTCCTTTACTTATTGACATTTGTTTCAATCTGCAAATTAACTTAAATATATACTTTACTCAAAGATTTTCTTTTTAAGGACACATTTGTTCATAAGGGAATATGTTATGTTTTAATTTGATTTTTGGAAGGTTATGATTAAAGATAAATATTTCTTTTGCATGTAGGGGAAAACATATTTTAGCATAAAATAAATTCTGATTACGTTTTAATTATCATATTTCAAATTATATTAATATATAAATAGACTACTAATATGCTAATGTCTCAAAGGACAATAGGTCTTGCCAATTTTTTTACTATAATTAAAACAAGTTAAAGTATTAAAGTGAACCTAGAAAAATTACCACTGGTAGACCCGATGAGTGTCTACCTAACAATAATATAAAGACTAACAAATACACTTGCTTAAATTTCTTTCCTAAAAACCTCTATTTATAGTTTAGCAAATTAGCAAATATTTATTTCTTGGTAAGCGATAAATTGTTTTAAAAATAATTTTTATAATTGAGATTGAGCTTAAGAATTTTATTTTGGTGAATTTCAAAACATTTTATTTGTAATGTTTAAAATAACTACAGATTAAAGACAATAAACAAACATATTTAAGCATATGGAGGGAGCAGATTTACTTTCCCTTTAATTTAATGTGAAAAAAAAAAAAATTATTAAACTTAATTACTGCTCCAAAAATTAAAAAAAAAAATATATAGACATTCACTTGATAATGTAATAATATACGAAAGGCTAATTTAATTGAAATATAAGAAATACAATAAAATAGAATACGACATAAATAAACAATAAAAAATAGCTAGCAATAAATCAAACAATCAATAATTTATTCATTCAAGCTGTTATTAAGTTATAAGCAAATTAACTAACTAACTAAATAACTATTTATTCATTAATATAAAAAAATTAGTCTAATTTTTAAATTAATATAAAAAAATTAGTCTAATTTTTAAATACAAACCATTTAAAAAATAACGAAATCAATAAAAATTTTTATTATTTCAAAAAATAAACATTTTTAATTGAATGTGTTTCATGAAATTACTTTAAAATTTACAGATATGCTGAATCTTAAAAATATGAAACTAAAATAAATGGAAAAGCCAATCTTGAAAATCCCGATAGTTTTTTAATAAAAAAAATATTTTACTTTTTACAAATATTTTTATTTTTTAAAAACTCATTTTTTTGAAATTCTAAATATTTTATAAAACAAATATTGTAGTTTATTGGTATTATGTAGTCTATTCCTTAAATTTCTATTTCGAATGCTATACCTGTCATTTTTCTTCCCTTAGCTGTCATAGTTGCAATCACTGGAGGAAAAGATTTATATGAGGATTATAAAAGAATGAAAAGTGACAGAACAGAGAACGACTAAAAAATTTAAATTTTTGATAATAAATCAAACAGTTTTAAAGAATTTACTTGGAAAGAAATACGACCTGGGCATATTGTCAAAGTAACTATTCAAATAACTAAAAACTTTGAGTTTAACTTTTCTTAATTTTACTTTTTTTAAATTATTTAGGTAATGAGGGACCATTATTTTCCTGCTGACGTAGTTTTATTAATGACTTCAGATCCATAAGGTAACACAAATACACACTAATCATTTCTTTAAATTTAGCATTTTAGTAGTAGCTAATTCTTTTTTAAAATAATTTATCATTGTCATCCATCCATCAGACATTTGATAGAAAATAAGGAAAGTTTATTTAGAGATTAATTTTGAAAATAGAAAAAAAAAAAAATCAAAATCTTTGCATTAAAACTTATATTAATTTATTGACAGTAGAACTTTAAATTTTTTGATATTGTTATTTAGTTAATCACATTCAATCCATTCAATACGAATTTACAATAAAATAAGAAAACAGAATGCTTTTAAAAATTTACTTTAAAAAATAATAAAGCAAAAAATGAAAAATTAATCAAATTTAATTATTTATTTATTTGTTTGTTTTCTTATATAAAAGGGATTTGCTATATCGAGACAAAAAACCTAGATGGTGAAACAAATTTAGAAAGTAAACAAGCAGATCCTCGTATAAGAGATAAATGTATTAAAGATGAATCTAAATTAGGCTAAGAATGTGTGATTATACATTATGAAAGTCCTAACAAAAGAATCTATCGTTTTGATGGAAGTTTTGACACTAAAATGGGTGAAAATTATCAATTGAGTTACACAAATGTAGTTCTTCGTGGATGTTGCCTTAAAAACACTGAATATGCTATTGGAATGGCTGTTTACACAGGGTAAAAAATATTAAAATTTAATTCTCAATAACTAACTATAAAGTTGTTCACAATATGTTTTTAAAAATTCTTTTTATTTATAAAATAGACATTAATCTAAGATTATGTATAATCTATATTAAGGAAGTGCTAAGAAAAGTACTCTAGAGCAACTTATAGGAAAGCTAATCATTTAAATTTTTTTGTTATAGTTAGTTGTTTGTATTATCTGCGCATCTATTTATATTGGATTTTATTCTTTGGTGGGCTACGAGCTAAGTTACTTAGTTATTAAGGCTTCATCTGATGTCTACGAAGAAGCTAATGCAATCAACTTTTTTGTAAGACTTGGTAACTGGATACTCATTTTCACGTAAAAATAAATAAATAAATCATAATTTTATTTAATTTAATTCATTTCACTAAATGCATTCTTTAAAAAATATAAAGGAATTTTGTCCCAATCAGTCTTATAGTGACATTAGAAACTGTTAAATTTATTCAAGGAATGTTTATGACAGCAGATGAAAAAATGGGAAACCCTACTGTATAAGCTTCTAATTTAAATGAATAATTAGGATAAATAAATTACATTTTTTCTGATAAAACTGGTACTTTAACTAAGAATGTTATGTAATTTAAGCAAATAGCTATTGGGGACACTCTTTATGGAGGAAACGAATAAAAATCTGAACAGCCTCTTACTGATGAAGAAATTATGTTCAATTATCCTAAAGTAGAGAACGTTGATTTTAGAGATAGATCATTTTTAGATAAAGTTAAGGATGAGGAAGATCCTGAGCATGTGAAAATTCGGTAATCTATTAAATTAATTTCTTAATTAAAAACAGATTAAACTTATGGAATTTATTTTAAGTTAAGTACTGAGTTAAAAATAAATAGATAGATGGATAGATTAATTAGTTTTTCACTTCTTTTTGAGAGCAATCATATTTATAAATTAGTTTATCCATTTTTTTTTGTTTATTTAAAACGCAATTCAAAATCAATTTCTTAGTATAATTATATTTATTAAAAAATAATAGTCGAGTATTGTTTATGCTAGCCTCTTGCCATACTGTAACTTCGACAATAGATCATTAGTAAAACACTATCTATACAGCATCTTCCCCTGATGAATATGCAATTATTAACTTCACTAAATTTGCTGGTGTTGAATTTTTAAAAGTAGAGAAAGTAGATGGAAATACAAATATATTGATTAGGTTTAAGCAAAAAATATTTTCTTTGCAATTACTGCATGTATTTGAATTTGATTCGAATAGAAAGCGCTAGTCTGTTATTGTCAAAGACTAAGATGATAAATATTTCTTATTTTGTAAAGGAGCAGATTAAGTGATTACTATGAATCTCAGTGAAAATACAGACCCGATTATGCTCAGAAATTTGAATGAAAAATTAAAATACTTTGGTAGTCAAGGATTGCGTACCCTCATGCTTGCTGAAAGACAAATCGATAAGCAAGCATATGAAATATGGAGTGAAAAGTATTTAAAGGCACGTTCATAAGCAGAAAACAAAGACTTAGAAATCGAAAAGCTTTAGGATGAAATGGAAACTGATTTAGAAATTTTAGGAGCTACTGCTATAGAAGATAAATTGCAAGATGATGTTTCAGATACTATTAAAGCATTGAAAGATTCTGGAATAAAAATTTGGGTATTAACTGGTGATAAAATAGAAACAGCAATAAACATTGCCTATTCTTGCAAATTACTTGATGATACTTTAGAAAAAGCAATTATTGATGTCGAGGAAGAAAATGAAGTTAACAAATTCCTCTAGGATACTCTTTAAAACCTATTAGATGCTGAAGCAACATATATTTAATAATAAAAATAAAATAAAAAAGCAATAGATGAAGATGCTTTGAAAAACCATGCACTTATTATATCAGGTTTTGCTCTAAATCATATTTCGAAGACAGAAATAAAAACACTTGTAATTTATTTATTCATTAAAACAAAAAAATTTAAATTAATTTTATTTTTTTGTAAAAAGATTATGCAAATTGTTAAATATTGCAAGTGTATTATCTGCTGCAGAGTATCCCCAAAATAAAAATAAGAAGTTGTTACTACAGTTCGTGAAATGGTAAATTTAACTAATTGCATCCTTTACTAATTTAATTCTTTTAGTTATGAAAATATTTATCAAAAAAATTAGTTATTGATAGATTTTTAATTCTATTAGAAAGTTATATTTTAATAATTTGATAGTTAAAAATCAAAAAGCTAATATAATTTGTCTTAAATATAATAATAGGAAAAGAATGCAACAACACTCGCTATTGGTGATGGAGCTAATGATGTAAATATGATTACAGCAGCTCATGTAGGAATTGGTATAAAAGGTGTAGAAGGTTAGTAAGCTGCAAGAGCTAGTGATTATTCTATTAATTAATTTAAGGAATTAAGAAGGTTGCTATTCTATCATGGTAGAGAATGTTATCGTAGAAATTCAAATTTAGTACTATATAACTTTTACAAGAATGTCTTGCTTGTGCTTCCTCAATTTTGGTAATTTAATTTAAATACTTTTAATAATCATATTTTTATCGTTTTTAAATACAAAATTAATTAGGTATGGTTGGACTAATTGGTTTAGTGGCTAAACACTATATAACTCCTTCATCTATTAACTTTTTAACATCTTCTTTGCATCACTTCCTATTATGGTTTATGCAATATGGGATGAAGAATATTCCGATGTAGTGCTCGTGAAAAATGAGAAAAAGAATTACTACGAATAAGGAATAAAAAGTAATTTTTTTATTTATTTACTTATATTTTAAATAATAAAATTAAAATATTTAAACTCTAGATAAGCTTTTCAACCAAAGAGAATTCTGGAAATGGAATCTGATAGCTTCAGTACAAGCTGGATTGATTGTCATATGTTCACTTTTCCCATTAGAGCTGAATTTTGTTACATAAAATGGATAGACTTAGTGGTTTTGGGCTACTGGTACTATGGTTTTTGGTTTAGTTGTAGTTATTTCAAACTTAAAAATCCTAATTATGTCAACAGATCACTCTTTGGGTTCTTTAATGATCTTAGCTTTATCTATGCTTCTTTATTTGATTACTTGGGTAATCGTGAGCAATTTGAATTCCACAGAAATTTATAGAACTCTTGGATAGTAAAATAATTTTAAACATCAAAATAACATATAAATAAATAAATTAATTAATTAAATTAGAATGTTCTAAACTCCTAATTTCCACCTTGGTAATATACTATGCATAATTGTTACATCATTCTTTGATTGGGCTTTTTGTTTGTACAAAAGTAAGCTTAGTTCATTTTTTAACTTTGTGAAATAAATTATTTTTTTAAACAGAATGGACTTATGAGTTTGATGAAAAGTAGCAAGTAACTAAGATTGATAAGACACCAAAATAAGTTAAAACAAATAGTACCTTCCCAATTAAAATGCGTACTTTTAATACAGATGTACCTAAAAAATAAAATGGTTTTGTCAAAGATCAAACTAAAGCAAATTATGCAACATAAGAAATGAAAAGAACTTATTATCAAGATGTCAATACTGGTTATGCTTTTAATTAGATAGATAGACACTAATATGTCTAAAAATAGAAAGAGTAGCAAATGTTTTGAGAATTAAGTAATAATCCTTTTATTTTCTAAATTACTTATCCTGAAAGCTATTAGTAAAACAAAATTTGGACATTATTTAAATATGATGGTTTTGCTGAATTTTATTTATTAAGTAGAATTTTTACTTACTCTAAAATATTTAATTTGAAAAAAATATACATGAATTGAATTGCTTATCTAACATACTAACTTTCTCAAAATCTTATAATCTTTATCTTTAAATTATTAAAAATAAAAAAGATGCTTTGTAACTTTTTAAGCATCTTAAAATTGGTTATTTATTGATCTATTTTAGCCAAGAGTTATATATATATATATACAAATACAAATTCACACACATACAAATAATATATATATATATATACAATGTATAACTTTAATTGAATATAGTATTAGCTTTTATATTCATCACAAACAATTGTCTTGTATTAAATATATTAATTTATAACTTTTCTAACTCATTATTTAAGATAGTCTATAAAATATATCAAAATATCTATTAAGAAATTTAATTTAGTCCTTAAATGAAAGAATTTTTTTATATTTTAATTCATCTTTTAAATTACAATTATTCTGAAATTTTTAATTATTTATATTACTTATTAAAGGATTTTACTAAATTTAAATTTTATATGCGAAATCAAGAAACTTATTATCATCTTTCATAGGACTATTGTATGCCATTAAGTTTATCTTGATTTTAACTTACAATAGAATTATTTTTTATATATGAATGAGTCCATTATTGAAATATAAAATATTTAAAATTTTAAAATTACATGTAATTTGTAAGTTAAGTAAATGCCTAATTTCACCTATTAGAGTTATGTTTTAAAGATAAAAATCTAGAACTATTTTCAGAAATACGAAAATTGATAATTAATAATTTTAGTTTTTTTGTAATTTAAATTTAGAAAAATGTTGATATCAAAAAATTTCTTAAACTTAAAAATTTTAAAAATACCTTAGAAGGTACAATTGAAACAATACTAAATTGTAATCATTTAAATTTTTAAACATTTAGGCAGTAAAATTTAACGTTTTGATAAATAATATTAAAAAAGAAAGTCATTTTAATAATATTTTAATAAATAATATATAAAAAAGCAAAAAATACAAATACAAATTCATCTAAAGAAATATTTTAGCATAATTAGGAAAATTATTTCTAGCAAATATTTGAAAGACATTTATCTTTTGTAAAATTATAAATGTAAATATAAAAATATTATTCTATAACATCAATTTATCTAAGTAGATTTTTATAAATTACTTTGTTAATTATTGAAAATTAAAAAAAATCTTGTGCCTAAATCTTAAAATTATCTTTATGCAAAATTGATTAATTCAAATTATTTCAATATTTTAAAAATCTTATTATTAAAACAACTTTTTTTGTTTCTGTTTGTATTTTAAATATTTGGATATAATTAAAATTTAATTGAATGGTTCTCCGAATCTCTACTTAAGTAAATAGTTTATTAAAATAATAATTTAATGGATAAAAATAAAGTAATTTATTATAAGCAAATACTAAAATACAGTTTAAATGCTGGAAAAAACTAAATTTTGTTTTTCAAGAGAAATCCTACAAAAATTATCTAAAATTTATCTATCTTACAAATAATTTTTATCAATCACTGATTAAAAAATACATAATTAACTAATAGATTGCTTAATAATTTAATTAAAAACAGTAAAAACTTTTAAATAAATCTCTCTTGTATACTGATAAGAAAGGGAGGACAATTAATGAAGATTTAAATATCTCCATAAAAAAATATGGATAAAAAAACCCTCTTCTCTTATAATGAAACAAATTAGCAGCAATAAATTCCTGTTCGAAACTAAATACATTTTTCTTAGAACCGTGCTAATGGTTCTGTTTAAAACAATACTACAAATATGTTATAAGGGAACCAAAAAAGCGATTAAATTAATGCTTAGAACGCTATAAACCATTCTCATAATTAAGGATAAGCAGGTTAGAAGGGTACAAATATTCCAAACAATGTAAATAGCAATGCTAACAATAATTAAAATGCAGCAGCTAATAATGATGAAAATATAAACAACATTGATGTAAAAGTACATCCTGAATTGCAGCTTAGTTAACAAGATTTTGAAAAGAAATTCATAAAGACAGCTGACAAATGTTTAAATAAATGTGATTTCTATGAGACTTGGAAATATGAAATGAATGGAGAAATTTATATTGTAAAAAAATACTTAAAATTAGATGATATGAAATGGAAAAAGCTTGTTAATTCTTATAATCTTTAATACCATTTAGCATGTAGTAACTCTTTATTTTTAAAGCCTTTCAAACTAGTAGCGTTTTCTCTCGCGACTGTAACTTCTGCCCATCACAACAGGTTAAGTCATACTAATGTTCATCATGTAGCTAATAGCCATTTGAATTAATAAAATACTCAAAGTCAATATGCTTAATATTAACAATAATAAATTAGAAGATGGCACCTATATGTAATATATCCCTTTAGCATAGAAAGTATAACTCTTGATAAAATATACTAATCACAAACAGCCTCAGTATCTGATACTGATTTAATTTGCTTGGCTATTTAGCTTTTTAAAATTGGACAGCTTTGTGCTGAGAAGAATTTTCCTCTTATAAACTGGAAATTTAGCAATTTACTTGTTGAACTAAAATCTTCTTCTATTTAAATATTCTAACCAAATTATTAGTAGCCAGTTCAAACTCTCTCTACATAAATGATTAAAACTTAAAGACTGCAGACTGAAACAAATCAAATATCATCATAAAAGCCAAGTCTTAAATTAGTTGAGTATTCCTTAAAAATCATGGATTTATATGATTATTTTGGAATAGAGAATCGTGATTCTAATGATTTGTTGCTACCTCCTGAGTTAAGATAAGATCAACGTAAATCTTCTGCAACTGTTCACTTTGAAGATTTTCATGGATCATTAGAATAATCAAGTATTTACATGACAGGAATGATCTTGGCGTAACTTCTAATAAAAAATTTTGAGGAATCAAGAAAAGCTGATGATTCCATACTATATAAGAAAAGTAATAAACTTATAGCAACTCCTCAGTAGCCTTAATCAGCCAGTATAAACAAATCAGTTTTACAAAAAAAAGCTATAAATAATAACAGTATTTAATAAAGTGTAGATGAAACAAAAAAAAAGAATACATTAAATTCTTCATCTTTAACACAAAGCAATGATTTTAGCTAATTGTAAAATATATAAAATACAATAGATTTGATAATTGAAACACAATCATAAGTTAATCCTTTAATCCATGCACTAGCGATGATTGTTAAATTTACAATTACACCAAACCCTAAAGAAAGATACTCCTTTTCTTCTGTGCTGGATGTAATTAGAGATCTTTTTGGAGAAATTATTGACTAACCTAATTCAGATTAGTCTTAGTATAAAGTAAGCAGTTTATTTTGTTGATATTTTTCTAATATTTTGCTAATTTAGGGAGATCTTTTTAGTTTCCTCATAATTTGATAAATTTATAGAGAAAATAATTCTTTAACATATTACATTTCTATTTTATTTTTCTTAAGTTTAATATTTATTTTTAATTTACAGAAATTTGAAAAAAATATAATTATGCTTTTAGAGTTCACCAACACTTTATTAGAATAACAAGATTATGAAAGTGCTTCAAATTTGATGAATAGAGCTAAAAAAATTTTAATTTTAAAATCCAAAAAATATTAGCTTTCACCTATTGTGAGTAAGAAGCTCTTTAACTATTTCTAAAAATTATATAATAGTAATTTAAAATTTGATAAAATTATAGACGCCTATTATTTTTTCTCTACAAGTAATTTGCTTATGCTTTAAGGAAGATTAGCTCATGCTGTTAGAAACTATTTAGATGGGCTCAGAGAAATTTAGCAAATTCAAATACAGTATGAAGAGTATTAAGATGACCTGTACTATAAACTTCGTAAAAATATAATCTTATAAAATATTTATTATTTTTATTAGAATAATTTTAAATTTTATTTATAAAGATGCATAAATACTTCTATAATTGGGAATCTGCTCCTTCAAATTAAATTAATACTACAAATCTAGATTTTACATTGAAGAATGCATAATAATCCTAAAAAATTAGGAAAAATATTACAAATAACCACATATAAAAAACTCTTTGAGGTGTAAATATTTTGAGATGAGTAAATACTTACTTATTTAACTTGGAAATTTTACTTTAAGAATTCTTATTAATTTTATCAATCTAAAAAATTCAAATTGTTTTAACAGATGCATTTGCTTTAATGTGGAGAGCATAAATAGAAAGAATAATAGGAGTTAACAATGACACTGATTATAAAAAATTAGAAGATTTTTCAAGTAATAAAAAATCAGACTTTAGAGTTTCTGATACAGATATTCAAAGTGAAAAAAAAATCAACGAATCTATAAAAGATTAGAAATAAGAGCCGATTGAATTATTAACTATAAAAGAAGCTTTAAAATATGTACCCAAAGGTACCAGATCATGTAAAGTTTAAAATTAAAGTTAACTTAAAAAATTTTAAATTTGTTGTTTAATAAATTAGATGCTAAAATAGTGCTCGTTAAAGCAAAAATATTAAGTTCCAAAGGGTTCACAGAAAAAGCTCTTAAATATGTCAACAAATAGCAGGAATAGCTTGAAAGTTAAAATTAAAATAAAGTCACTGACTTACTTAGTAATATTTATATACTTTTCAAAAAAATAATAATTACTAATTATATCATAGTAATGGAGTGCAACTATATCAAAGGGATCATTTACTTCTAAAAAGAAAATATTCCAGAATCCATTAAACATTTTTAGTTAGCCCAGCAAATTTATGAATAAAGAGGTGAAGCAAATCACCCAGATTGTAAAATTCTTAAATTTAGCATAAACCATATTGAATAAAATTTTTGATATAGGTTCAGCAATATATTAAAAGCTTGCTAAATGCTACGCTAGATTAGGTAAAATTTCTCAGGCATCGTCACTTCATGAAAGAGCTATGCTGTTAAATGATCTTAACTTAGCCGAAGCTAGTTTTTAAGATTCAAGATTCCTAAAGTAATCAACAGAGGAACCTGAATGTAAATTATTACATTATTAATTAAATAACATGGAATAAATTTATTTTACATAAAACAGGTTTGCTTACTTATAACTATTGCCTTCATTTGAAGGAATAAGGATTGTTTAAGTAATCAAAAGAATTTACTCATGAACTTATGTAAAACTACAAATATTTTTTATCACCTGCACCTGAATTTGTAAACAAATTATTGGATTATCACTACACAAATTTGAATCTAAAAATAAAGATAACAAAAAGTTGATTGGATTGATTTATATAGGAATTCATGAGTAATAATAACTAAACTAATTTTTCTTATTATATAAATTATAATATTATTTTTGAAGAATAAAGTAACAAATTTTAAGTTTTTTAATTTATAATTAATTATTAATTAATTTTGTATATTAAATTATTTATAAGTAATCACTTAATAGTCTATTCATATATTTTTATATGTTGCAGAATTACATTAGTAAATATCTTAAGTGACTTACTTACTTACTTTCATACTAGTTTTTATTAATTGATATATAATTTTATTTAAAAATATTATAAATCTAAGCTTAACAATTATTTGATTTGATTGATCAGTAAAAAAATTATTATTGAATTTATTTTTCTAAAATTCATTTAAAAATTTATAGCAAAAAATTAAAAGATTTTGAAATTTCCAAATCAGTCTTTCTTTATTTGGATGAGATCTAATAAAATTGACACAATTTAACCTGAAACTACTTCAAAAAGTTTCATAAAAGAAGATATATAAAACTAAAATTTAGAAGAATCAAATTCTTGTTTCAAATCCAGAGGGTATCAAACAATTAGTCATAAATTATAATGCAGCGCATTTGTGCTTTATACCATAGTTTCGATAGGAATTTTTATAAGTAGAATAGTAAAAAACATTTTTCAAAATTAAATATGTAAAATTAATTTAAGAAATTCTTTTAAAGTTCTAAATATCAATAGATTCAGATTAGTTAGACCAATATGGATAAAACTACTAAGTAAAGTATAGACTGATAGATTTTTAATAGATGACTAATTAATTTTTTAAAAACTTTGACTACTAATTTGGATAGACAAAACATGCATTAGATGTAATTAATGATATCTACAACATTGCTGAAATTAGTAATTATTTAAATTAATTATTACATTAAGTTTATTTAATACTAAATATATTTTTAAGGATTTAATGATTATGACTTTTCTACCTTCAGCCGTTGCCATATAAATAATGTAACTCTTTGCATAAGCTAAAATAAAGATGAAGAAATTACCTATAAGCTTAGAGCTGATAGTTTTTATTAAATATATTACTTTTTTACAAGTTCAATTTATTTAACAAATAATGCTGATGAATCAGCAATATCACCATCTTAGCAAGTAGTTTTAAAAATTAACTTATTAATACATGATTTTGGACTAATATATATATTTTAAATACAAATCAGGCTATAGTTACCAAAACATCAATGTTCGAAAGCTTCTACTTTAACGCTTTTTAACACTTCTACTTTACTAATAATCTTCATCACAAAATGTTCATTGTATTTCCAAACGACAAAGTAGCAAGAATTTTTCCAGTTTAATACGATTCAATTTAACCTATTTCTACAAATGACTATACGATGATGAGAAGTGTTATGACTGGTAAAAAATATTATCATTCTATATTAGAAGTTATATAAAAAAATATCAAAAGGTACCTAGCCTAATACTTATTGGAAATTGGATCAAAATTCACCTACATATTAATATTTTAGCAATCTTTCAGATGTAGTAAATACAGATTAAGATATTCTAAGAATAAGAAGAGTTATTAAAAGAAATTCAGATAATTCTATGATAGGTGTAGTGAGCGTAGACATTTTTACTTCTCATATTAATAACACAATGAGCCAAGTAAGTTTTATTTATTTAAAAAGTAATTTATAAAATAATAATAAATTATGTTTAGCTATTAAATAGTAATTACCAAACATATTTAATCAGCAATTAAGGCGATATAATATAGACAAATATAGAAAACTTTACTGATGATAATATTTTCACTAGTTTGTAAGGTAGAATTAATATTTTATAAATTATTTTTTTAAAATGATTCTTAAAATTAAAAGTTTATTTGATAAATTTATCAAAAAACACCAAATAATAAAATGTGTTTAAATTATTTTCTTAAAAATTAACTAAATTATTTTCAAATATTAAATTAATATCTTTTAAATTTATTATTTAAGGATGCTATTGTGAGTAAGTTGTTTAAAAATTTAAGAGTCTAAAAATACATATTCCTAGCAACTATGAATGCTAATAACCTTAAATACCTTATTCTATACAAGACTGTATGTATTTTAATATGAAAGAAATGTGGTAATCAGATGGTTAATACTTGTTTTTTTTAATAACTATCAGCAATAATTACCAAAGTAATAAAAGTGATTAGCTGATATATACAATTATTTATGTTTATATCAGTTTGTTTATAGTATTGTTTGCTGCTATAATTTATATAACTAGAACATATATTTTAGAGTTTACAAGCGATATTACCAATCCTATCAAATAAGTTTCTTTTAAAATACAAAGAATTATGCACAATATATTTAATCCAAAGCAATTCAGTAAGATTAGAACAGATGAAATAGTTATAAGAGAAAAAACAGAAATAAGAAAGTTGGCTAACAAATTTAGTAAAACATTCTATAAATTAAACGAAAAGAATCTCTTCTAAACTACTATAGTGAGCTCTATAGATAAATCATATTAAAAATCCAAAGAAATTAGTGATAAACCTTAAAAGGATACTATAGTTGATGAAGTTAGAAATATAGTACAGTCATTCTTGGATGATTAATAATAAGTCCACAATGAATAAACTTAGGAGAGAAACAATAAATATGCCAGATCAAATAAAAGTAAAAACAATATAGATTCATCCTTAATAAGAGACTGATTGATTGATAGATTGAAAAGTTAATAAAACAGATAAATAATCCTGAGAAACAATAATTGAACAAATTAACAAAAAAAATTTTCAATTATGAAACTAAAATTATTTAAATAGATTACTTTAGCTTGTAAATGTTAAATCAAATTTTATAAAATAAAAAAAAATATTTTTCCTTTATTTGTAGAGTATTTTTAACAAAATTGTTTTATTTATTGTTTAATTTATAAAATAAATATGTATAGCACTATATTAAGAGTTTTTAAAACTTTTAATTGAAAAGATTATTTTATGAGTTTATTATTATTTATTTTAGATAAAGAAAACGAATTTAAGTATTTTGAATGTAAAAGTAAAATTTTAATTTGATATGTAATAGAAAGAATTATGCATAAAATGTATTACAAATTGAATGGTTGTTTAGAAATATAAATAAAATTAATTAATACAATAAAAAATATATTATTTTATCAAATTAATTTCTTAATAAATTTAGATTTTGTTATTTTTTAGCTTACTTCAGATTCTGATGTAAATGCTTCTTATTTAGGTAATATTTTTTAGTATTTTTATTATGGATGAAATTCAAACCCGCTCTTCTCTAAATTTTCATTTTCTTACTATATGGATGAAGGCTTTGGCCCTTTCCTTACAGAAAAAACTGAAAATTCATCAATTTTTTTATTTTATTTGAGAAAATTATCAAAAGAATTATCTCTAAGCTAATTATTTAATAGTGATTCTGCTTAGCCTTATCTTATATTTGATGGTTGCTAGTTGTTGCTACTTTACATAATCTACTTGCTAGACCTAGGCAAAGGCTCTTAAAATGTATAAGTTTGAATTTTTTCTAAACATGTTTTGAATGATGAACTTCCATTCATTCTATTACTAGAAGCCATCATACTTTGATTATCAAATTGTGTAATACTTTTCTTTTCTTAAATATTTGCCTTTTAGATTTCGCTTTCTTATATAGAGTTTATGCCAGCTATTTTCCTTTCTCTATTTTGAACTTGTTAATACTATTCAAACTTATCTCTTTAAATTGCAGAATTAAATGCTTAACTTGTATTATAATTAGGATGATTGTGGTTATTTATTTAAGTTCCAAATAAATCTTTTGACTAATTAGTTTATATAGTGTTAAGTGAATGATAATTTGTTTACAAGGGGTTATTGTAGCTGTTTAATGCACTGCTTATGTTTTCTCTGTTGCTTTCTTTATTGTTTTAAGCTGTTTAATGGTTTAATATTCCTTTTTCTTTCAGTAATAAAGAAGTTGGTTAACCATGCTACTATTTTTTCAAAATAGCTTACTAATCAATTACCTGAGAATCGTTAGAGTCTATATGATTTCCATTATAATAACCATTTTGCTTAAGTTTATTAACCATATTTTAATCCTTTTATATTTGCTTGTTTTATTAGTTCATCATTTATATAAATTTATTTTATTTATCTATGACCTATTAAGACTCTGAAGTTTCATTAGAAATTTGAATTATTTTTTAACTGGAATGGAGTTAACTCATCATAGAAGACTATAAATTTTACTTTTAATTTTTTAGTTATGGAGTTTGTAGGAAACCCTGATAATTTTGTCTCTCTTCTATTTAAGACTAAGTCAAATTGTCTTGAAGGTCTTATTTAAGATTTTTATTTCTCTTTTTTTAGAGCTTTTCCTTCCTAATTTAATCCAAATTTTCTTAATTTCTTTAAAGCAATTTACTTTTAACTGCAATTGAATGAGAACTATTTTGTAAAATTTCAGAGTCATTACTTTATGGTTGATTAGAAACATAATTAGAATCAAAATAATTATTAACATCTTAATTTCTTTTATTTACTTAATCAAATAAATTTTTTCCTTACTTAGGAGCAGGTTTAGCGAATTAGTGTTGATTCTTATTTCCATTTTAAGGGGAATTGCTTCTTTCGTCTTTATTAAATAGTTTATTTTTTAGCTAATCCTTAGAAATCACTTCTTTTATTTGCTAAATATTCTAATTAATTTTAGATGTTTCTGGTTAATACTATAGCATATCTTAAACTGTTCTTTTATTATTTATTAGCAACCTTTTTTACATTTCATTCAAAGCTTTTAATGTACTCTTTTGTGTTATATTTTTTATGTTCTCTTCATTAATCTGAGCTAATTATTGTGCCTCTTAATATCTTTCAAAATTTCTTTTTTCTATTAGACTTATTTTTTGGTGCTTCTTAGGATATTCTCCCATCATTTCATTTGAATAACTTTCTTCATTTTCCATATCCTCGTGATGGACTGGAAATACAATTTATGAATTAAAAGCTTCTAAATCTACTTCAGCTTATTCTCTATGAGTATTCTTATTTTTTGCTTAATCAATATACATTTATCTTTCTTCAAATTCACTATTGTTGCTTTACAAATCACCTAATTTATTATTCTTTTGGATATGGTTTCCGTTTTTATAATTTTTTTATTATTGTTGTAAATGTTTTTGCTCTGTTAAGAATTAATTTCTTTCTTTTAAGTTATATTTTTATTATGGCTGAGTTTAATTGTAATCAGTAAGTTCATTATCTGTGAATAAAATATTATTCTACCTAATTTTTTGCTTTTATATGTTTTCTTTTTATTAATTATTTATTTAATTAGCATGGTTATTTTATTGTGCTGTTAATTTCCTTGAATCTATTGCCATGCTACTTGAAAAAACAGATTTATTTTAATTTGGATCCTAAACAAGCTCTATAGAAGAAAACTCGTCTTATAAATGATTTAAAACAACACTCCCTCTCTTTTTGCTTCCACCACTTTTTGAGAATTTACCATTTTTATTATTTTCATCTTCACTTTATTAATAATTTTAAGAATCTTCCTCATCTTCTTGATGATTATTTCCTTCATAATCACTATCTTCAACTTATTGGTAATTATCCTCCATTTCAATTAAATTACCTTTACGTAGTTTTCTGATATTAATATTTTCTATATCTTGCTCTACTTCCATGAACTAATTACTATTTAAGATATTTTTATTCTATTTGTTAATTTTACTTCGACCATCTTATTATTGACCTCCTACTTTTTCAACATCCATTTTTCTATTATTTTTTTTTTCAAATCCTTAAACTATTTCTTGTTATTCATCGATCATCTTGCCATCGTTAATATTCGATCTTTGGTTCTATTTGGATAATTATTTGTTATCTTTTTCTTGTTATTAGTTTATTTTACTTTGTTGATTTTAATTTTGTTAAAATTTATCTCCTTCAATTTAAACTGAATTCGACTACTATGCTTAATCAAAAAACTATTAGTTTGAATTATTATTTAAATCTCCCTACTCTGCATGATTGATTCCATTATAATTTACATTGAAAATATTTTATTAATTATTATTAATATTAGGTTAAATATCGTCATATTGTAGTTATTATTATTATTAAGGATTTTGATTAAAAGGTGAAGTGTCATCTTAGGTTTAGTTATCAATATCGAAAACCGTAGAAAACGCAGATATAATTTCAAAGGACTCATTTTTAATCCTCAGATAAACAATTACTCTTCCTCCAACCATCTCATCACCAAATTGTAATTAAATTGTTTGATTGAATTTATTTGCTAAATATATTTGAGAAATTAAAAAATTGGGTGGTATCAAAAGACGATTTTTATTATCAAATTAAGATAATATGCGAGAAAAATTATAGTTATTGCATATATTTCTATTAATTTATAAAACTAGATCCTATTCTCCATTTAAAGCCTCAACGTGAATGTGCTCTTCATAAAATTTAAGCTACAGGATAGAATTTTTAAATTCTTTTACACTTTTTAGATAATTCTAATTAATTTCTAAATATAATATATTTTCTTAACTTAGGTTTCTCATGTGATTAAAGTATAAATGCTAGTTTAAATTAGGGTTTAAATACACATCTCTTTTAATTTCTAATATTCCATCTTCATCGTATATTTTCATAACAAACTATACACATAAATCATTTGAATAGTTATCTTTTTTCTAAAGGCTAAACATAACTTTTTTTGTAGATTTTCTTATCGACTTTAAACTTTAATAAATTCTTGTTATATCCATTTCAAAAGTTGCATTTTCTATCCCTAAGTCTCTATTATTTATAAAAGAACTAAAGTAGTTCATTCTAAAATAGGAAAGAAGCACTAAATGATCTGAGTCTAAGTTATTTAAATATTCACTATTTTACATAAGAAGCCATCCATGAATATTATTCCACATAAAGCAAATATTAGAATTTCCACTAATACAAGTCTTAAAAAAATGCATCAACTGGCTCCATTTCTTATTGTCTTCTAAGTAAAATATCATCTTATAATATATTTAACAAAATCTTAATTCCTACTTATATGTATTTCTCTTAAAAAACACTAAATCTAAGAAATTATTTAAAATTAAAAATGGAACTTATACAATTAAGTTTTTTTATAACAGCAAATGCTAATCTTTTTTTTAAAACTTTGCTAACTTTGTTCAGAATTGAGATTTAAAATACTTTTATTTATTTTATATTATTTTTTCAGCCAACCTACTATACCTACTTCTTCTAAATTTACTTTTAAACTAGTGTATAAAAATCAGAGATATCCTAAATTTTGTAAAGCGCTTAATATTATATAACCTACTATCTATAGAATTGAAACTTTTAAAAAATAATTTTCTTATTTTGAATTTTTCTTTCCTTTATTTTTTTGCTATAACAAGACTTGAATTCAATTGATATATTTTTTAATTTTTGTTTATTTATATTGTTAAATAACTAATTATGATTATAAATTTCTGAGATATTCTTATAAATTGTATTGATTTTAATCTCAATTTGCGCCTTTAAGTGATTTTGATTTTGAAATATTTCAAAAGTATTATATTTAACTTAAAAGTATTAAAACGCAAACTGAAAATTATTAGTGCGCAAAAGTGTCAGAATTTATTGTATCTTAAAAAATATTTTCTCTCTGTAAATCTATTGAATTATTAACTAAAAAGCTCTTCAAAAATTTAAAGATCAAATTAAAATGAGCTATAGGAAAATTTTTATCCATCTGTCTAACTTTCATGCAAAAAGTTTTTATTGATTTCATAATCAAAACTAAAAAAATATATTTTGTTTTGCAAAAAATACAACAACAAAAAAATTTATAAAAATATTTTTTCGATTAAAAAGCTCAAATGAAAATATATTATAACTTATGTATGCCGATAATAAACTGCCTAAAATTGATCAAAATTCTAAATTCAAACTTATCAATATACAATAATGTTTAAATTATTTATAACATAAGAAATATTGAATTAATTTATATAAGCAAAAGTGGCTATTAAAATTGAACAAATGAGCATAAATAAAAAAATTCTTTCATATTATTTATGCTTTTCAATTTTTTTATCAAATTGCTAATTATTTTCTATTTGAAATAATTGTGAATGTGTACTTGTGTTTAATTATGTGTAAATATAAAAAGATGATGACTGATGCTAAATGATATTTACTAACTAATCTATCTATGATTAATCCTATCTTTGAATATATAAATAAATATATTTACAGACAAGTAAAATATAGAATTTTTTTTCATTTAATTATAAGATGTGAAATTTGCACCAATCAATTTATGAATTATTGATAGCTTACTTTCTTTTTAAAAAAGCAACTTTTATTTATTTATTAACTTACTTACTTGTTTCCATAATATTTTTGATCTTCAAACAATATTATCAGTTTTTACTTTCTTGTGGCTTTCGCTTTCTATACTATCTGTTTAGTTTGAGCTAGCACTTTTATCTAAAGAGGAATGAGGTCTTTTAACATTAATTTCTTCAGCCTTTTCTGGATTTTCCTCTTATTTCTTATTTGAGTCGCCATTTTATTCTTTTGTTTCATGCTTTTCATTATTATTAACTTCCTACTATTTATCTTTATCGTGCTTTTCATCTTTTTATTCGCTTTCTTCCTTTTTTTCATTACTTTCACTTTCCTTGCTTTAATCATCATGATGTTTGCTATGATGTTCACCATCTTCTTTTTTGTGAGGTTTATATTTCTTAAATGTTGGCTAATAAATATCAGTGTGCACAGGCATTCTACCTGAACTTGTTCTTGTAGTCCTTCTACCTGAATTTTCAGATGCTATTTCTTTTTAAGAACCATTTTCAGTATTATTATCTTCAGTTTATTAATTTGATTTGTCATCATTAGAAGTAGGTTAAACTTAAGTTTATGATTTAGGTTTTCTACCTCTCTTTTTGGGAATTTTTGGCTATTCTTCATCTTCTTCTTCAGCATTATTTTGTTTAGACTACTTTTAAGGTACTTTTGCTTCGTATTCAGATCCTTCATCATCGTCTTCATCTTCTTTACTCTTTTTTGACTTTGAATTTCTTGTTTATCTGGTCACTTTAGCAATTTTTTTTTTAAGACTGGGTCTACCTCTTTTACCAGGTTTTTTCTTAGACTTCTTACCGCCATCATAGTCATCATCTTCATCATAATCTTCGCTGAATTCTTCATCTTCTTCATCGCCATCTTCATCATCATAGTGGGCTTCTTTTTCAGGTTTAAATTCATCATCATCTTCTGAATCATCACCTTTAGATTTGCGCCCTCTTGCACCTTTTTAAACTCCAACATATTTCATTTTAGGAGCTCTGCGAACTTCTTATTCTTCCTCTTAGCCAGCCTATAAATCATTTTCGGAGCTATTTTCATTTTTTTTCTCTACTGATTAATCTTTTTCTTCAGATTGCTTATCTTCGACATGCTTAGTCTTTTCTTCAGAAGCAGGTTAACTCATCTTTATAAAAATCTTTTTAATAGGAAATATATGATATTTTTTCTTTCAAAAATTAGATTAAAAACTTTTAATTTATTATGCCAAAAGATCTTTCGTTCTTATGCATAAATTTATTTAATAAAATTATTAATAGAATACTAATTTTTCTTTTTTCTTTCTTAATCAGAAAAAGAATATAATATTGAATATTATAGCAAATAATCATATCTTAGTATATGAATTCTAATGAAAGAGCGCTTTTTTTACTTAATTTTTTTAGATGCCCGCTATTGTATTGAATAGTAAGTATTTCTATATAAGTAATATATAACCTAATAATTTAATGAATACTTATTAAATAAATTCTAATAATCTCTAAATTAATATTTCCGAATTTACTAAAATGCTTACAAATATTTAAAAAAAGATTAAAATATTTTTTTTAGCTGATAAAATTAGGATGAAAAACTCTAAATAAAAAAATAAATAATAAATTAGACAGATAAATTTAATTCTTTGGCGCATTTATTATTTTAGGTATTAACAATTATGATATTTATAATTTAGTTTTTCCTATTTTTGAATTATCAAAATATTATTTATAAAATTTAATTCATAGACTTATGAGATTGAATTTAATTAAAAATATAATTTTATATGAAGCTTAACAGTTCTTTATTTGAAAAGATAAAATTTAGTTTAATTTTATTACTAAAATATTATGATTTAAGAATTTACAATTAATATATAAAAATATTTAATTTTAATTTATTATAAATGATTATAAATGTGAAAAGCCTTTTTTTCAAATATTATATAAACTATATGTGCAATTATTTGCATTAAGAGGAGACTAAGGCTTTTGTAGATTATTAGATAATTGATAAATTAGTATTAATATATTAACATAATAAGGTTTATTTGATTATTTTTTATTTTGAAAATTTATTTTTATTTATTAATTCGATTCAGAAAAAATGGATCTAGTAGTAATTAAATTCTTTATTTAAATTAGATTTTCACTTATTTCAACTTTTCTTTTAGTTTTGCTATTATATAAAATACTATCCTAAAATTATAGAGAAAAGACCTGGAAGAATCAAAGCATAGCCCAAACATGTGAGACCCTCTTTTATAAAAATATATTTTTATTAGAAAAGTTTAGTTTAATATAAAATTAAATGGTTATAATAAAATTTTAATTTTTTTTATATGATAGATATTTATAATTGTATTTACCTGGTAAAATTTAAACACCCAGAGCTTATAGAGCTAATGTACTAATAATAGGCTCAAATAGTTATGCCGTTTAGGGCACTAAAGGGACAAATACTTTGCTAACTATAAACATAGATACAAAACTACCCATACCTAGCAATATCGACATTAACAAAAAACTTACAAAGTTTTATTCTGTAAATAGCCCATACCAACCCCATGATGGATCTTTGACAAAATCCATACCTGAAAAAAAGTAACTTAGCAAAGTAAGATTAAACATATTCAAAAAGAACGTTAGAATTGTATTAAGGTGGGTAGGAAATACTTCTCTTGCTGCAGCTTAGTGCTTAGCCAATTTAGACATCAAGAAACTTACAAAAAGACTAGAGCCATTACCAAAAAGTACTCTTTACCAGTTAGGCCTGTGGATGAATTTAGTCATTTTATAGTGGTATGCTGATGGAGGTAAGTCAGATGCATCAAAAAAAATGTTATCTGCAAGTACAAAAGTGACACCCATAGTGGTAATAATGCCACCAAATATTTCTATATAGTGAATTTAATCTTTTTTGATCACTCTTTAAAGAAATAGGTAAAAATTGACAAGATTTCCAAGTATAATAGCATGAGAAACATAAGTCCACTCAAAACAAAACAAAGTAAAACAAAACCAAGTTGATTATGTAAAAGAGCTTAAAAATAACTTTTTTAAATTTTCTGGTTTCATAATATATGAAATACTATATTTAGCTTTTACTTTCTCATCTCCTGTTCTAAACTCGTACTATGCAAAAGGAATCATCAAAAAAAATTACATGAAGAACCTCCATGCTATACGTAAATATTTTTCTGCAGGCATATATTAAATCCAGGAAGGAATTATCCCATTTGCAAGTGTACCAAGAAATAACAAACACCAAGCATATTAAATATTTACATTTTGATAAACTGGCTTAAGTAGAATAGGTTTTTTAAAATATCTGCTTACTTTATTTATATCGTTTGTAAGTTAATTAGTGATTTCAACTTTTTAGACTTATCCTTCTTTATCTTTAAACAACAAAGAATCTTCTCTTACTTCGCAAATATCTTCAACATGAAATGCAAATCCACTACCATACACAACTGATGTTTTAGGCTTTCTTTAAATGTAAGAATCGCTGCTTGGTCTTGCTGAGGGTAAATCTTACTCTCTACAGTCATATTAATCAATACTAAATTTATCAATGTTTGTATCAGATATACTACCTCTTGGGTCCTCTGCTATGACTTTTAAAGGCTAACCGCTTGCTATAGTAGATTTCTTTGTATATATTTATTAGTAAGTCTCATAATTTTTTTGTTGCTGAGGCACTGTAAGGAAGCTAGTTTTTAGCTATTACATTTCTATATTTTGTGGTTATATGATCTCTATAGAATCCTCTTATGGGTATGGAATGAGATCTTTATTCTAAATCTTTTAATAGTAGAAGATTGATTTAGGAAGTTCTTATCTTCCATCTTGTCTTAAGCTTTCTTGTTGCAAATTATGGGTATTTACAGGTTGAATATCTTATTACTTATTTATTTGCTAAACTTGTTTATTATTTATATTATTATCTTCTTCAATTTAAGTCTAAGATGAGCTTGTCACATATATAAATGGAGTCTTCTAATCACTTACATCTTATGGATTAGCTTGGTTTTTATCACTAAAAATGTAATTTTCTTAAACTTTCATTTTACTTTTAAGAAAATATGATGTGTTTTAATTAAATTTATTATAAAATTTCTATGTATAAATTTTAACATTTTTGTAATAAATCAGTTTATATATTTCAACTTAAAATCAATTATATCACTAAAAAGCCTTTATGAAGCATGTCTCAACAATATGTCTATATAATAGAAACTAAATACTATTTTCAATCACTGCATATTTAATCTGATTAGCCAAGATGTTCCTTTACCAACTTTACTATTTTTGGAAATAAATTATAAAATTTAAATTAGTAAACTCATACATTTTATTTGGTTGTTTTTAAAAATTACTAATTATTTTAAAAGATTTTTTAAAAATAAGTTATATATAGCTTTTGTTATATAAAAATAGCTACTACTACTTTACACTTCTCCTAAAATTTTACCAGAAAACAAAATTTATTGCCGAAAAAACTTTTTATGTTTATCTCTTCTTTGTTTTTTTTATATATTTAAAAATTGAAAAAAAATTCTATATTAGTAAATTTAAGATTGTAATCAATCTACATTTATGAAGAGAATTTGAGGTTTTTTTTTCTTTTGAAAAGATGAAATTTAATTAAATAGCTTTAAACTTTTATATTAACTCAAAAGATTAGACTGTTTTTGATATAATTACTTGTATTTATTTACATTTATAACATCTATTTTAAATTTTGTTATAAAATTTAAGCAATTTAACACAAAAGATATTTAATAATTTCAATTTGATTAAGATAGATTGGATTTATTTAATTTTTTTATTTGTTTCTAGAAAAATTGGCTTGACTTATTAGAAAGAACATATGCTCAAAAAGATATTTATTTATTTTCTGGTGATATAATAAATCAAAAGTAAGTATTATTGATTAGAAATATCTAAATAAATTAACAAATAAAAGAAATGGATTTTATAAAGGAAAATAAAGGCAAAATTTTAGTAGCAGTTGCAGCAGTTGGTGGATTATTGTGGATTTAATCAAGAAATAGTAGCATCCCTGATTAGATTACCAAATTGATTAACTCCTACATAGAAAAGAGAAAAAATGTGACTGAAGAAGATATGAAAAAGGAAGATATTATCAAGTTAAGAAAGGAAATCAGCTATATTTTAAAGCAATTTGTCTAAAAGGGTAAAAACAAAGAAGAAAGAGAAGGCTAGTACATAGAATTTTACATTACATTTTTCTAGATTTTTTATAAGCAAATTAAAGAATTGTCTGATGATCAATAGCAAATGAAAGGTTTAATAGAAGGATATAGAGATATCATGGGTTCATTTTTGCAGATATCTTTATTAGGAGATTCTCTTTTTGAATCAAACTAGGATAACAAATTTAGTGTGTAGGAATGTTTTTATTAGCTTTTTACAAATGGCGAAATTGAAGAAAAAATAGATACTATTGATTTCATTTTTTCTTCTCTTCATTTTATCAGAGAAGAAGATTTAGTAAATTTTGTAGACTCTAGAATTATGGTTAATCAAGATTTAAAGTTTAACTTTTTAACAAAGCTTATTCGTCATTCTCATACATGCTTGAAAATAATTTCTAATCCTGAAAATAGACTTTCAAACTCAGATTTCTACTTCTCAAAGTTCTATTTTGAAATGATTGGAGATATTAAATTTCTTAAACAACTTTAACCTCTCAATCTTATTCAATCTATGACTTTATTTAATGCTTATTGCTCTAACTTTAACAAAAATCTAGAATTATTTATCTTAAAAGAAACATTTATGCTCAAATGGTAAAAACTCATTTAAAGCATTTTAAGCAACTAAGAATATATCAAGCAATTATCTAACGAGTAAGACTCAGCAAAAACACTAAGCGAAATATTCAAATAACTTGCTTTTTCTCTTTTCAACTTCACTATTTCCTTTAATATAGAAGAAAAGCAACTTGATACCTATACAGAAACCTTTTAACAGCGTATTCTTCCTTTTAGCTCAGTATTATTGTTAGCTGAAGAAACCCTCAAAACTATGGATTGCTTCTTAAAGAATTTGAAAAAATTAGGTTTGATTAATAAGCACAAAAACACCTTCATGACTATTATACATGATTTCTTATTAACTCTTGTATAATTTTATGATAAAAATAACTGCTCTAATTACATTAATATCTTTATATTATCGATATCATTAATGATTATCAATTGTCATAATTAAATACCAAGTAGCAAAACAATAAACTAATTTTGGGCATCAATCTACTTGCCTAAAGACTGCAGTCTATAAATTGTATCTGAGACATTTTTCAGAATGAGCTTAGTTCAATTCTTTGAAATGACAGGTAATTTTTCATACTACATATACATTTATATTAATAAATAAAATTTTCATTTAAAATAGGTTTAACTACTTTTATTGAGTCACTCATTAAATATTATGAACCTGATATGCAAAAAAAAATTAAAGTATTATTGCAACTACTCAACAATAAGAGATACAACTTTAACAGACTAAGAATTATTGGATATCAATTTGCAATATTATAAAGTGATTTTGAGGATTAAGTTGTACAAGAAAATATCACTAACTAAATTTTCAAAAAGACAAATAAAGATAACAAGGCTTGTATTTTTTCATTGATTAACATTGGTGAAAAAATATTTACCCCTCTTCATTACATTAATTAAATCGATGTTGAAACTGACATTAGTGATAATGAAGAAAAATAAGAAATTTCCCAATAAATAGAAAAGTATACATAGGAGTGTATCTAATATTTAATTAACGTTTTCTAGTTATCAAAGGAAAAAATAAGTATTGAAGATATGCTAACCTATGCAAGAAATGGAATTCATAGTAAACTTACTCTAGAATAGATTAAATCTGTAGCAGAAGAAGACGATTAAAATAATACTTAAATAAAACAAGGTATCGTATTGAATAACCAAATGGAATTATTCTTTGATAAGCAGATGGTCTTTTAAGGTTTTGAACTCACATAATTAAACTAAGATATGAGTTTGATATTTTATGATACTTTGGATTTCGTTAAAGAAATTTAATACAGACTATTTACTAAAAAGTTCTTTGTTGATTATGCAGTTACTTGCTTCTTTAAAAATCCCTTGATTATTACATAAATACACACTCATGCATTAGTGTTATATGAATTGATGATTGATTTCATTTATGAATATTTAATTAAAAATCCTGAACATGATAACCAAGATATTGATTATCTAAAAGACTAATTGTGTGACGACAACACTGTCTTCAGTACATTAAAAAAAGATTCTTTATTATTTATTGAAGGTAATTAAACAGCAAAAAGCATCACAGAGTAGCTATTAAAAAGGGTTGAAGCAAGACTTGAATAAATTTCAAAACTTTGAAATAAAAAGTTAAAATAAAAATTTTTCAGTTAAAGTTTAAAATTAGATTGAAAAGTAAGCAAACTAAATTTATTAATAAATTGTCGAATTAAAATATTTTAAATAATAAATAGTATTTTATGTTATTTTTTATTAGTTAATTTTAAATAACTTCAAACATAATTTTAATTTAGCTAATTAAATTTATTTAACTGTTATTTAATTATTTTCAAAATTTAATTAATTCTAAATTCATAAAACTATCAAAAATACATTTTCTCTAGCTAATTTTAATATTGATTCATTTGATAAAAATACAAATTTTAAAGTCGCTATAAAAAATATTTGAAAAATTAGAAATTTTAATTTATTTATAAAATCTTAATAAAGAGCTTCCAATTAAAATAATAAAATTATTTTTTTAATTAACTAAATAATAAACATTTAGAATAAAAAAAGATTTTCAAATAAAAAACAAGATTAAAAATTAATTTATTGATTTAAATTATTTACTAAGAAATCTTATTAACTTTTATAAATGTTAAACAGTCTGATTTACTTTTGTATTTTAAATCTTTAAATTTTAAAATTATATTTACTAATAATATTACCAAAATTAAATATTGTTAAATTTCAAAAAAAAAATTTGGAATTAAAATGGATTAAAATATAAATTTTAGAATCACAGTGAAAAAAGTTTGAAAAAGGATTGATTAAAATTTATTTTTTAATAGTAAACGAACTTCTATTTAAAATAAAAAATCTATTTTAATTAATTTAAAAAATAGAACTTAAACAAAATATTTTAAATGTTGAAGGAGGATAAATAAATAAATAAATAAGTTGGTTATCTTTATTAAAAAGTAAGTAGTGAGTAAAAAAGACAATAATTATAAATATATATATACAAAATTAAGAAATAAGATGAAATATTAATTTATTGATTGATTGTTGATTTAAATTATTTAACTAAAACATTTTACTAACTTTTAAAAATATTCAATTATCCTTTTTACTTTTGTTTAATCCTTCTGAATGAGATGCTTATCTTTAATAAATTTTTAAGCTTGATTCATTTTAAATTTTTTTCTAACTAAGCAGCACTTTTATCAGTTTACTAATAAATGGTCTCTTCTCTTTTTTGCTAATCTTAGAGCTCCTTTATCTTCTTTTGAAGCTACTCAATAATTTCATGTCTATTTTCTTCATTTTATTTTTGATTCTTCTTTTCATTTAATAAGAACTAACCTAAATTTATTACAAATAAACCAGGTAGAATAAAAACGTAACCGATACAAGAAAGGCCCCCTTTATTAATAAAGTAAATATTTTAAATTTTGTAAAATTTTATATTATTTTTGTATGAAATATGTATCTATAAATAATTTATTTTTGGTTAATTTACCTGGTATGATTTGAACACCTACCAATTGAAGGATTATTGTACTGAATATAGGTTCAAATAAGCTGATAGTGGCTGGAATAATAGGCTTGAAAATTTTATTAATTAATACTGAAGTGATGAAATTACCCATACCTAAAATTATACTCATAAACAGAAATCCACTAAATTACTCACTACTGAATAAACCAAGGCATCCCCAAAAAGAATCATGAATCAAGTCACTACCTGAGAAGAAATAGCTGCTCATTGTCATATTAACAGAAGTAAATGCAAAAATCAAAGCCTGATTTAAGAAAGGAGGATAAGTTTTACCTGACTCATCTCTGTGATTCTACATTCTAAAAAGAATGTAACTAACTATAAGTGTAGTTACATTACCAAAAAGTAATCTCTACCAAGGTTTACGATAATATACTTTAGCATTTCTATAATTTACTGTAGAGGGTGGTGCTTCTGATGGATCATACATCAAAGTATCAGCAAGAACGCAAAGCACACCAAAAATGACCATTGCTTAACCAGAACTTTCATAATTATGATTTTCTTATTTTTTAATAATTCTATTAATACTGAAACAAAATGGAATTAATGCAGATAACACTAAAGAATGGGAAATGAAATTCCAATCTTGTGCAAATAAAACCATAGTAAATTGAATAGATAGGGAGCATGATGCTAAGTAAACCTTTTTCATATTTTCTAATTTGAATATATATGAGAAAGAATATTTGTGTTGATTAGCTTCAGGTAAATTTCTACGCTCATACAATAAAAAAGGAATCATCATAACTGCTTACATAAAGAAACGCCAAGCAATACGAAGATATTTTTCAGCTGGAATTGACATAATCCAAGGAGGTATACAAGCTGCATTTATAGTAGCATAGAAAACTAAAAACCAAGCTAGATATGGGTTGACTCTTTCGTAAAAGGGTTTTGATACTTCGAGGATTTTTTTCTCTGCTTCAACATCTATTTACTTTATGAGTTCAGGACCTATACCATACTAACCAATTTCTTAATCTCCTCTTTTAATGAGAACTTTATCCTCTTAAATTTCTATATCATCGAAAATATCAAAATTGCAATTTAGTCCAGAGCTAGTAACAAATGTTCCTCTATTTTGGTTTTGCTTTGCCAATCTATTTGTTATCAACATATTATGGAACTCGGTCAATCGCTTCTAATTTTCAGGGTTTAAAGTTTGAATTTATTCATTAACTTAACTTGGCTAACTAATTTTATCACTTTCCCTAAAGAAAAATATTTTTTCCGATTGCTTGCGTGCATCCTAATTATGGTTGAAATCTGTGTTTGACTTTTTAATAGTCATTTCAATTGAATTATTCCTATCATAACTAGTATTTGTATTTGGTTATAAATTAAGAGAATGGAAATGGTTTAGGTTTTCCTTTTAATCTTAGGAGCTATCTTTATCATAAAATTAAGACTTTGGAGCTTCAGCTTGCTTTGACATGTCACTTTTTAGCTAGAAAGTTATTTCGAAAAATAATAGAAAAGTGAGTATTTTTCTCTTTAAAAAACTAGATATTTATTTACAAATAAATAATTACAGACTATAACCATTTAGAAATTTTAATAGTAGTATAAAAAATTTAATTTTTACAGTCAAAAATAAATAGTATTTCTTTATTCATATCTCTATCTTTAATCATTCAATCAATCAACCAATAAATCAATACAATATATTTCTATTTCCTAAACAATTATATTGGTGATTCATTCATTCATTGTGTTTAAATCATTTAGTGAATTTTTATCTATTTCTTCTTTTATTTAATTAATGTTAATTCATTCATTTTTTTCAAGTTTGACTGTCACTTTCTTTTATATTTTTATTTTTTTTGTTTTAAATTTTATTTTTTTTATTTGGCACATTTTAAGTATAAAATATCTTCTATCTATCTAATTTCTATCTTAAATTTATTAAAATATTAATGAATTTTATTTTTTACAAACTTTTAAAAATTGTATTTCTACATATTTATTTTCTTAAAATAAATAAATAACTAAAGTATCATTAAAATCATTTATTGTTTTTATCTAAAATTAATAACTTATTTTATAAAGCCATACTAAATATATTATGAAAAAGGTATCAATATAAAGCAAATAATAATATTAATATATAACACTTCACATAAATAATTAAAATTCCAATAATTTTAAAAAACTATAAGCATGAATTTTTTTTTTAAATTAACATATACATAGAACAGTAAAAATAAAAAACAATTTAAAGATATAAAATAAATTAAAAATTTGTTTATAGAAAACTCTGATTAACAACACGTTTATTAAAAGTTTAAATTGTAATTTATTAGTTTATAATTAAATAAATAATATTGCTTGACATATTTATTTCTAAATAACTTTTTAACGGTTAAAACAAATTTGATTTAAGTATTCTAAAAGCATAAAAATACTTAATAAGCTCATGTATATAATTTTATGCTTATAACTGCTAAATAAAATTCTTTAATAAAGCTTCATTTGTTATGTTAGCAAACATTTAAATTCTTATTAAATTATTTAATAATTTAAGCACTTTTTAATATTAGAATATAAAGTTAATTCAAGGAAATATGGAAGTTAAATTTAAAAATATAATATAAAATTTAGAAGATTACGATTATAATTGTTATTATAATTACTATTTTCAATAGATATGTAATTTCTGTTAAATTATTTAATTAAAATGTTATTTTATTGTGCTTATGCTTATAAGTATGATTTTATTTATATCAATTAAGTTTTTAGCTATTTAAAAAGGAAAAATTATTTATTTACAGAAAAATTAAATAAGGTGAACTAGATTATGTTGTTTTTTTTTAATTTTCCTAACAATTATATTTTTAAAAATCAATTAATTGGTTTTTTAGAGCCTATTGATTTAACGCTATCATTATTTTCGCTATCATTTTCATCATCAGAGTCACTACTCTATATAATTTCGTGCATCTGTAAAGCCTCTAGTCTATTTATTTCTTCTTATAATTGTTCTTATATTTTTATTTCTTCATCTTATTTTCTCCTAACACTTAATAAATGTTAACCTAATACAATTACAAAGAGCCCAGGAACAATAAAGACGTAGCCTAAACACGCTAAACCTCCTATTTTATTATTTAAGAAATAAATTTAAATAAGTTCAAAAAATTTTTAAAATATTACTTGGCATAATCTAAACACCTGCTATCTATAAAACTATTGTGCTAAATATTGGTTCAAATAGAGAAATTGTTGCAGGTACAATTGGCTCAAATAGTTTATTAATTAACACATTTGTTATAAAATTGCCCATACCAAGAATTATAGTCATAATTAAGAAACCACTGAATTCTTCACTGTTAAAAATACCAAGCCATCCCCAAAATTCATCATTAAACAAATAATTTCCTGCAAAAAAATAACTACTCATAGTCATATTTATAGAGGTAAACAGAAAAACGAGAGTCATAGATAAAAACTGAGGATATATTTACCTAGACTCTGCCTAGTGCTTTGACATTTTAAACATTAAAAAACTAACTAAAATAGATGTTAAGTTGCCTATTATCAATCTTTACCATGGCTCACGAAAATAAACATATGTGTTGCTATAGTTTTTAGTTGAGGGTGGAGCTTCTTTAGAATTATAAGTAAGAGTATCTGCAAGGATACAAAAAACTCCAAATATAACCATTGCTTAACCACCATACTCGTAATCATGATTTTCTTCTTTATTTAAACGTCTATGAATGCTGAAAAATAATTAACTAAGCCCAGAAAGTACTAAAGCATGAGATATAAAGTTCCATTCAAAAGCAAATAAAACCATAGTAAACCAAATAGAATTTGTAAATGCAACCATAAAAACTTTCTTAATATTTTCTAATTTAAAAATATAACTAAATTCATACTAGTACTTTTTATCTTCAGGGATATTTCTTCTTTCATATAAGAGGAAAGGGATCATCATGAATGTTTGCAAAAAGAATCTCCAAGAAATACGCAAATACTTTTCTTCAGGTACAGACACAATCCATGGAGGAATACAAGCACCATTTATAGCTGCATAAAATACTAAAAACCAAGAGAGAAAGACAGGAATACGTTAATAAAGTGGCTTTTAAATATTAGATATATTTTATTTCGTCTCCTAATCAAAGAAAGCTATCATATTAGGACCTATTGTATATCTATTCACTTAATCGCCTATTTTTACTACAAGCTTTCCATCATCAATTTCTTATACTTTATCAATCATATCATCAAAATTAAAATTCAGAGCTGAAGCCTACAAAATAGATTATCTCTACCTATGTTTATTATGTATATTCTATATTAATTAGCTATGAAATTCGCTTAAACGGTTCATATTGGCATTACTCAATCTTCTAAAGCTACTTTTTTTCATATTCGTATTAGTCAGAGAGTGCATATGAAGTATGCTATTATGTTCTTCTTTTTCAACAAAATCTTATAATTTTTCTTAAGACTTCTCCCTATTATGGATAGTTGTCGAAAAATTATGCAAAAATTACTATGAATCATGTTAGTCATGTTTATCAAATTTATGTGCAATAAAAGGAGAGTCGCTATTAAATTTATGATGAGACGGACTATGAGCATGTGGATTCGAATTTCTTTTGCTTATGCCAATTTATTCTTATGACATCTAAATTTAAAAATTAATCCTTTTTATATATTTTCTGAAATTTTTTAAGTAATAAATAATATTGATTGATTGATTATTATAATAACACTTCAGTAATTAATTTTTTTTTTTTTAATTTTATAAGTATTTCAATTAGTGACAATTTTTTAAACTCTTAGAAATTTCATAGCTTAATTTTTATGCTTTAATAAAATTTTTTATTTCTATTTAATCTAATTATAATTACTTTATTTATATGAAATAAATAATTATAAAATTTTTAAAAATAAGATAGATATCAGTCAAATCCATCTATCAGTCAGTCATTCTGTCATTTCTCACCTCAAAATTTTTACTAATAAATCTTAACTTAATTAATTTGTCTGTTTTAGATTCTAAAAAAAATATCTTCAAAGTATTTTTAAAGACACAGAAATGATTTTAATAATTGTGCTTAATTATTTTTCATGGAAATTAGAAATGAGTTCAACACTCTGTTTTTTATTTTATCAAAATCAAAAAGGAAAAAGTTTTTAATAGTCTATTAATTTAATATAATTAATATAATATAATGTATTCATAGCTCTGGGATTTTGCCAATTAAAAGAAAGAATTTAAGTCTTTAGCTTTTTTTATATTTTTTATTATTCAAAAAGAATTTCATACAGAAATAAATTAAACACATTATTTATTTTCTTAGTATTAGTATTAAAAATAAATCATACTCAATTATAAAGCATAATAATATAGGTAGACTGACTAAAATTTTATAGGCAGAAATCAGACTTTGTTATGGATACATTTGATTAAACTCAGTTATTTGTTAGGCTGAGGAAAATCCTCCCAAAGAGCCCTCTGGATTGGACATGCCAGGAAACTATAAAGTTTATTTAGTTTGCAAATATGTCCATTTATGAAGCTCATTTCGCAAAGAAATAAGTTGATGGTAAAAAAATGATAAAATCTTACTCAGCATATAATTATGAAAAATTTAAGGATAAAACTTAAGTGCCTAGTCTTTTACATTATCAAAAATTTTTAATATGGACGCATATACTAAAAGAAAATTATGATAAGTTTTTATAAAGCGTTAATGCTCATAAACATTTATTTGATCATAGTAAATATTCCCCTTAATAATAAAATTAAATTATTTCAATTAAATATTCAAATTCGATTACTCTTTCACCTTAGACTTCATAAAAAAATGGTTAGCTCTCAAATCAATCAAGTGCATAGTCAAGCACTGCAAATAAAATTTAAGGCAATAAAGGTGTGTTTGAATTCCCAGAAGATGCAAGCAGTAATCTAAATAATAGTGGCAATTTAAATTTGAGCTCAAATTCATTATCAAACTAGCCTCAGTAGCCAAACTAAGGATAAAATGATTAATTTGTATTAGCTCAATATACTCGTAATCCAAATAATGAAATAAATTAATCTAATAGCTAGAATTTCAAGTAAAGTGTATAAAGCAGTACCTACAATTCTACCAGCAATAATAGTTCTTAGCAATTAAGTTAGCAATCTTTTTAGGAAACAAATGATATCTTTAAGAAAATCACTGAAAATTTTGCATAGCCAGAACAGTTATCTTTAAAATTAATGGAGATGATAGAGGAAAGTAAGGGAAATAAAAAATTTTAACCAAGTAAGACTCGCTTATTTTCGAGATGCATTAAGACAACTGAACGCCAAAAGAAAAAAATGATTGAATTAATTGAAAAGTTATCATCAGAAAAATGTTTTCTGATGTGGAATACTCGTATGGTTCATTCTCTTTTGCAATTAATTTCATTTAATACATTATTCCCTATTGTTGAATAATGGGGTTTAGATGGTTTTATAATTTAGTTAGTACTTCCTTTATACTCAGTACGCTAAATAGAGCTAGCTTTTGAATGCAAGCATGAAGATACTGAGAAAATATTTTGGCTCTCTGATATTTTCAATGCTATTAAATACACTGAGCAGTATTAGTTTTTTAGCAGTTCCTATAAAGTAGATCCTTTAAATATTTCCTCCTTGTCATCATCTGGAGGACTACAGGATAAGAGTAAAGATAATATTCTCTATTAGCAAGTAATAATATCTCATTAAATTAACTTTAAATATATTGCTAAGCTAATTCCTAACTTTATTTAAACTAATTTTTAGTAACGAGATCAAGAAAACATTTATTTCAATAATAAATTAGAATAAATTTATTATTATTTTTTTAAAAATTTAAAATGAATTTTAATTTTAATTAATTAGATTTAAAATCTCATGAATAATAACAATAACAACCTGAATTCTTCCTTAATATTAAATATTCCTCCAAAAAAACTGAGTATTGACACTCTAGATTCAAATGATCAGTCAGGTAATTTTAAAAAGTGTTTTAGCAGTTATTTATATATTTTTTTTAAAAAAAGCTTCATAAAATTTAGATAAGCAATATTTGAATGATATGAGTAGTAAAAAAGAAAATTGGTAGCATAATTCATCAAATTTAACTCCTAATTTAAAGTAAAAATAAGAATAACCTTCTTTTATGATATCTAACTAAGAGGCTAATAAAGGAAATAGAAAAGGAAGTGAAGAATTTACGTTAGCCACAACAGCAAACCATCAAAGCAATTAAAAACCTTAACAATAATAATAAGTAGAAGAAAAAAATAGTAATTTAAGTCATGTAGAGATAAAAGAGTCTATAGATTAGGATCCAGCTTCTGCATAAAATATTCCTGGCAATCCCGAATTTGGTGAAAGTGTATTTTACCCAGAGAGCATTATTTAAAATAGTAGCTAGTAAAAAAAAAGAATAAGTATTAATTTCAATAAAAAAGAAAAAACCAGTAGAGAATCAATCACTTTAAACAGCTTATGTAAACAAATTTTACAAATATTTCAAATTAAACTTTGATTAAAATTTTTATTTAAAAATCTTATTTATTTAAGTTAAAAAAATAGCTAATTAGCTTTGAGTTAAGATATAATATTTTTGTATTTTAAAACTATGAAAAGCTCTTTAAGCTAAAATAATACTCAATATGTTCAATTAAAAGAATGTTCAAATTACTTTATTATGATAATATAATAACAGTTTTATTAAAATAATATTCATATAGCTTTTTTTAAGTAGCATCCAATTTTTTATTCAAATTATTTTCTAATATTTTATAAAAATAATTTAATAATAGCTTAATTAATTAATTAAAACAATATTCTGATGGTTTTATTTTATTTTAATAGAAGCTAAAATTCAAGAAATTCAAACAAATTAAGATTCTTAGTTTGCCGAAAGCACGATTCTAATAGAAACAGATAATTAAATGTAAAACACCTTTAATGTAGGTTTAGATATAAATAGATGTTAAAGTGAATCTATTCAATACTTTAATCCACCATCTAACTAAAGTATTTTAGAATATTTTTTATATTTATAAAATTATAAAAATTAATATAGCGAAAAATTCTATGCTTCAGACAATAGAAGAAAAAGATAAATCAGCTGAATCATAATCTTTGGCAGATAGTATGATGAATTCTACGAAGATGTCTTCAATTCCGAATGTGGCAAATAAAGATAAAAAATTTATAGAATCAGGTGTTTTTGCAGGTACTTAGACTAATTAGGGTAAAATGCAAAAAAATATAGTAGATGTATTAGGAACTTCTACTTATATTCAAAATAGCAAATAATTGTAAAACTAGGAGTAATTTTAAGAATCAGTTATTTTAACTAATAGTAGCTGCTCTAACAATTATAATAGTTAGCCTCAAAATAATAAAGAAGATAAAATTTTTTCTAAAACCGATAATTGTGTAACACCAAAAAATTTATAAAATGTTTTTGCTGATTCCGTAATGCTGACTTCTGATTAGCAAATGAATGATTCTAATTTTCCTAAAAGCAATCCTTCTTTATCATATTAAAAAACATAATCTATTACAGCTGCTTAATTATGCTCTTAGGGTTCTATGGTATCCACTCCTATACAATCGGGAGCAAATAATTAAATTAGTGAATTTTGTGATTCTGTTCTTATTGAACCAACATAGACTCATTTTGGAAAGGGTAAAACTTAAAATCAGGAAGAGCAATTATAAGAATCTATAATTTTACCTTAAAACAACATGAACAATATTAATAACAATTAATTTTAAGACTCGGTGACTTTTCCTATACAAAATAATTTTCAAAAAAACTAAATACAAAAACTTTAATAATAAAATTAACAAAAAAATAATGCTTAAAATAAAACAAATAAAATCGAAGATCAGTTCGCAGAATCAACTTTGTGTAATAATAATTTCAATGGTTAATCTTAGTATATTAATTAATTTTAAGAATCTACGCTTATTACTCCACTTTCAGGTAACAACAATTCAAACAATAATTAGAATTATAATAACACTTAAATGCTTAGATAAGTAAGAGGTGTAAGTGAATTTTAAGAATCAACATTAATAAATCCAATTAATTTTAATAAAAATGATAGCAAAAATCAATAACCATCTAATTAATTTTAAGAATCTACACTAATAAATCCTATTTAATAAAATAAAACTGAATAATTTCAGGAATCTACACTAATAAATCCTAAATAAACTAATAAACCTACACAATAATTTTTTGAATCTTAGTATCTAATGAACACGTAAGGAGGAAATGAAAGGGAAAGTGTTTAGCTCTAAGAATCTACTATAATAAATCCTTAACCACAAAAAAGTAATTAGTCAAAATAATCTTTTGTCTAAGATAGAAACTTCCGTTAATCTATAGTGAGAAATGTTAATGGAGAAATAGATTTCAATAAGTCAGTTATTTTTAACAACCAAAATTTATATTGTCAAAAAGCTTAAAATTAAAATAAATAAGATAATTTCTAAATAGAAGATGTTCCATCACCAGCTTAAACTAAGTCAACAGCTAGCACCGAATTAGCTAGCAACAAGCAAAGTTTCAGCCATAACCAAAGTTTTTACCTTGAAGATAGATAGACATAACAATTTTTCAAGCGTCCAAAGAGTAACAAATCATAAGAATATTAGATTTTGATGAATTAATTAGCAAAAAAAACACCTTCTCTAATATTTAATCCATTTGATTTTACTCCTCTTAAAAAATCTTATTGTATGAGAATACGTATTAAATCTCCAGATGGTTCTATTCATATTGATCATAGTGTAACAACTGATGGTGCAACTTTTGGTCGCCATGAAAACAATATTGTGAATTTCCCTAAAGAAAATATGATATCTTCCTATCATGCTGAGATTTTCTTTGATAATTTGTAATTTTATCTTCGAGACAAAGGTTCTAAGCAAGGAACTTTTATTAAAATGAAAGAAATAAGTCTTAAAAAAAATATGCTTATACAACTTTCAGTAAGCTCAGAAATAAAAATACTTGAATTAGATGTATATAATTATTATTATTTTACATTATGTCCTTATTTAATCAATTATATAATAAAACCACCACCAATCAACCAATAAAAAAATTTTTTATACAATAAATTAAACAAAAAATGTAAAAGTTTAAATAAATTTTATAAAAATAAATAGGAAGAAAAAGGCGAAATATAAATTGAAACAAAGACAATTTAAAAAAAGAGCAATTATAATCGAACTTTGGGAGAATAATAGGAAATAAAATTCGGAAGAGATAAAGAAAAATGTGATATCCCAATCAAAGAATAATCAATTAGCGGCATTCATGCCAAGATAGTTTACTCTTAAAAAAAATTTATTATGTATGATTAGGATAGTCTAAATGGTATTTGGTTAAGAATGTCTCAAAAATAAGAGGTTAGTGAGCCGTTCTTAATAACACCTGATTTTTCTTTTAGAATTTGTTTAATAAATATTCAAGTTATAAAGTTATCATAGCCAAAAATGATATAACAATGAAAAAATAAATATACTCATTCATTCTTTAAAATAATAAAAATTAAATATAAAAAGTTATTCATTTTAAATTTTTGAAGTGAATATGCTATGTCTGATAGTTCAATCAATAATCAGCTTTTAAAATTAAATATTTAAGCTTTTCAACCTTCTATCAAGATAATAATACAACAAATTTAAATAAAGTAGTACTAATTCAAATAATTTACAAAAAAAAAAATTAATATAATAATCCTATTTAATTACCACACAAAAAAATAACTCCATTACCTTATATATAGACTTAAAGTATCTATCATATTATTATATTCAAAACTTTGAACATTTATTTTCATAAATTCAAAAGTTCTTTTCTTTTGTATTTATTAAGATACATTTTTATGTTAAAATAGCTAAAAATATTTATTTATTTTTATTTCAAATAATTCATTTTTAACAAAACTTTCTTTAAAATTTGGATTTCAAAATTTTTTGTCAATACAATTTTAATTTTAAATTCTGATTTTATATTTATTTTTTGCATTTAGTCATTAAACTTTATCTGTTTAAGAATTTTAGTAAGTAATTAGTAAAAATTTAATAAAATTTTACTTGCTACAATAAATAAGAAATTAATAATTAGAGGTATTTATATTAAAAAGGAAGAAATTTTGCTTTAAAAAAAAAAAATCTACTTATTATTCAAAAATTTCAATATTTATTCACTTAATTATAAAGCATTAATTTTAGATGCTAAAATAATTAAAAATATTTATTATTTTATTACTTGCTAAACTTGATTCAAACAAGCTAAATAATCTAAATGAATAAAAAAATTAATTTTAATTATTGCTACTTTTTTGCAAAAGATTTTTTAATTTTATTCAACAATAAGTGTAAAATTAATAAAAATTTACAAGTTCAACAAATGAAACAGATGAAAGTAAATTTTTATATGTATATGGACTAGTTAAGAATATAAATACTTTAAGAAAGTAAGGTTTAGTTATAGTCAAGCTCTATCTATCACATATTAAATATTATGATGTAGCTTGCGTTTTGATAAAATTCGCAATATTAAATGCTAAACTAGTAAAATTTCATCACAAAATTGATCTGAAATATTATTTATCTTTGAATAATTAAACTTTTATAGAACTATTTATTAATTTATCTTTTATTAATTAGCATCAAATATACTGATCTTAATAGTTTTAATAATATTAATAAATGTTTGGAAAATTAAAAACTTGCTTTACACTTTTTTAATTTTAAAGTTAACCTATGAAATTAATTATGCACTATTAATAATATAATTAATAAGAATCAATTAAAATTATCTAAAATTGAAATAATTAGTTAATAATATTTGAAAATACAATAAAAGCTAGCAAAATTTGAATTTTTTACAAGAAATGTTCATTTATCAAAATGTTGAGCAAATAGCAGATGTAAATTTCTTTTGATTATGATTATTTATTTGTTAATATCTATAATAAATTATTAGATTTATGCTACAATAAATTGCTTCAACCCAGTTCCAGCATTTTATGAATGTATAAAGTCAAAAAACTATAATGCTATACCTCCTAACTACTATATAATGACAACTGCTATGAATTTTTCATGGGTAATATATGGATTAAAAACTCAAAATGAAGTTCTTAGTACAGTTAGCTTGAAATATTCACTCCTTTTTGCAGCTTTTGCTTTACTTTCAATTTATTTCACTAAATAGTATAAGAAAATAATAACTCTAGTTGCTGTTTTTGCCATCGAATATGTAATCTTGAATATGCTTGAATAACAATATTTAGGAATTTCCTGTACTATTGTTTAATTTATATCAGATTCATTTCAATTTGAGCCAATAGTAACTTATCATACATAATATTTCAAAGTTATTTAAATATTTTTTTATTTATTTAAAGATTCAGGCAATTAAAAATAATAATTCAAGCTATATTAATACTAAGTAATAGATTATTAGTGGTATATCAAGTACTTTATGGACTATGATAGGACATAAAGCCAATGATCCTTTCTTGATTTACCCTAATGGGTATAATTCATTATTGCATTATATACAATTAATATTAGGAATATATTATGGTTTTAAATCAAATAATTCTACAAAGTAAGTTTAAAAAAGTGAATGAGGTAGAAATATAAATAAACAAAAAATTAAATATTAAGTTAAATTTAATGTCAATATCTTTATAATTTTAAAAAATAATATTTATTTGTATTCTTTAAAATGATTAATATTTCTTCAGAATTTATCTCATTATTATATTTTACAATCTCAAGTAACAAATACAATTTATAGAATCTTCTTACATAATATTTTAAAACTTGAAGAAAATATTTTTTTTATCCTAATCCTCTAGAATTTAATTGATAAATAATGTCTTTTAAGCGATTGAACGTAATCTATATTAGCTTAACTTTGATATAAATCTATTCAGTATTATTTAACTATAATTTTCTATCAATTATTTTATAAAATGAGTTTAATTCTATATATTTTAGAATAAGGCATATAAATATTTTATTAAATAACTAGTATTTTTTTAAATACTTTTTATCAAAAAAATTTTGGTTTTCTCAAATATTAATTTAATTTCTAACAGAAATATAAATAAATTATAAATAAAATTAAAAGATTTAGTAAAAATAGATAATTTCTGTATCAAAGTAAATAGTTCTACTAAAATTTAGTAATTTTATTTTAGTATAAATCTAAATAATCAAGATAGATGAGTATTGAAACAATCAAAAGTAAAAAATTTGGTCTTCATTTTCAAAAATTATTTGAAAAATTGATAAGATATTAAAAATGTAAAATTTTTTTTAAAAATGATGAAGTAGATAGCTAAAAAATTTTCTGATCATCAAAAATTTATAAACGTTATTTTTTTAATTATTTTTGTTTTGGCATTATTTATTTATTTATGTATGGAAAGTACTTCTAAAATATGTAAATTTAGTGACATTTAAGAAAATATTGATTTCAATCAACAAGTAAATAATAAGAAATTAATAAATTATGTAAAAAAATTTATGGAATCTAGACATATCTGAAAATAAAGTCATTTAAAAAAATTTATACATAAGATATTGATTGATTGCTACAAAGAAAATATTTATTATTAAGTAAATAGATCGCTATATTCTTATATTATGTTTTTATATAATGCATTAAATGTTTTTGAAAATATTAGTCATATGGATTTCTTTTATGTATGTATGTCTTTAGATAAGTCTTTCAATAAATTTCTTTCACTTTCCTGTAGCATACTTTTAAGTGTATTCCTTGGCTTTTTTAAAAGAAAAAAATGTTATTAAAGTATATTAAATATTTTAAATTATTTAGAGAGTGAGTGAGAGGTTATGAAAATTGTGATTAGTCAGAATTTTAATTTGTGTATTCTTATTTACATGCTTTAATCTGGTTTTAGTTTGGTAAGTAAGATTGATAAAATTTTTGTAAAAAAATTCAAAGCAAAATAAAATAAATTCCTATTAATTTTTTTCGCAGTTTTTAAATTGCAAATTTTGTAGAATAACCCCTTTCTAAATAATATAAAGGATCTTATTTTTTTTGTTTTCTTTTTTATTTTTAATTGCTTTTTAATATATATTATTGCATATCTTCCTCTTCTAAATAATATTAATAATCTCTAAGCTATTCAATTTTTTAAACTATTAGCTAATTTTTTACCTTTTTTCAAAGCATTTTGTTCGTCATTTTTCCATTATTCAGCAGCTTCGTTATTTAAAGGATCATCGGCTATTTAATAATGAAATAATATATGAAAAATGCACATAGTAACTATTATAATCTCTTTTTTATTTGCTTATGTATTTATATTTTTAAGTAATATATGAGTTTTTACGGTTGGGGGATGAAAGGAGAGCCTAAATAGAGAGGAGGACAGAACGAATTTAGAGGGCAGGAGACCACTTATCTTTCAAAATATCTAAACAAATTCTACCAAGGTTATCAATATTAGGATGATAAATCTTGGTGCAGAAAATAACTTTGGGAGGATTCATAGGATATTATTCGGGTAATAATAATTCAGCAGTGAAGATACCACCTAATTGATTATTAAGAAATAAAATAATTTTTAATTGCATCTATAAACTATTCCAAAAAAAATATATTCTTAGTTTTTAATTTCATTTGATGTAAAATATATCTTAAAGTAATATTTTATATACCAGCATAAGGAGTGTTATCAGGACCTTGAATCTTTACGTAGAAGTGACGGAAGTTGTCCTTATTTGGAACTACATCAATACCAGGGACTATTATATAAAATAACTTAAGTTATTGAATTGATATTGAGATATATTAATTCGTTTGATGCATTTTTTTATTTATTTTCAAAATAATTGTGGCATTTTGCATTTAATATGTTATTTAAGCTTTTATTTCTCATTAAATAACACATAATTATATATTTTGAAGAAAAAGTATATATATTTTAAATTTAATGTCAGTTCACCTTGCTCTGTTTGAAGCTTTTGAGTTTCCTAAATAGATATATAAAAATAATCAATATTTATTGTAGGATTTAAAAAATGCTTTAAATTACTTTCATAATTCTAGGAGTAGGGCCAGCCATTTCAGATTATTTTATTTATTTATTTCTTTCTTTATTTATTTGTATTTTCTTACTTAAATATATTGGAATAATTATTTTTATTATATATTTTTAATTAATTAATTTAAAGACTTCTCCCTTTTATTATCTATATTTTAATTTAAACTATTCTTACGAGCAATCATGCAATCAATAAATAGTAAACATTATTATAATGCAGAAAATTAGGTGATTTTCCATACACTTGTTTCTAATTTTATTCATGTTTTAGCCATTTGAAAGTATTATTTGATAATTCATAAAGTCTTAAAACCATTTTTATCTAAAATAAGAATCCAAAAACGCACCTACTTAAAAAAAAGCATTTTTTTTAAAGCTTTGTATTTGCTTTAATATTTATATCTCACTATTAAAGCCACATAGAAAATTTATTTTTTGTGTTTTAACATGTTTTTTCTATTTATTTACATTTAGACTTTCAAGCTAAAACTATCATAAAAGTATATTCATAGCTACTCTAAATTTTTCAAAGTTATAAGAAATACTACAAATCCGAATAAATAAATTATGGAATAACTATTTAATATAGGTATCAAATAAATTAACTTTATTTAAATGTATTCTAAATATCTCAATACTTCACAAAATATATATCAAACTCGATTTCTTATTTAATTTATTAGAAATTACTCTATTTATATTACATTAATAACATACTTAGTTTGTAAAATCTTAATATTAGCATTAGTCATAGTTATGATTTATTACATCATTGTAAAGTCTCTAAGCGCGATGTTTAAAAAATTAAAATTTGTTCAGAATCGATCAATCATTTCTTACAAAAAAAATAATAATCAAAATATTTAATTTTAATGTTTTTTTATGGTAAAAAAGAAAGTGAAAGCTTTTAATAAAAAAAATATAAAATATAATTAAAAAAATAAAAGTAGTTTCTGATATTAAATTCCAAAACCATTAAAAACCACTTACCAGTTTTTTATATTTATTTTTGTGTCTAAAATTATAAAGTAATATAAAATACGATAAACAAAATATAGTTCATATACTTCAGTTAATAAATTCTATTATATTAGTAAGTATTTAATTAATTAATTTATTATAATATAAGGTTATATAATATAATTTTAATCAGATTTTTGTTTTTGATTTTTTATATTTACAATTTAAAAAATTAATTTGCTTTAAATCAACTATTTAAATTTAGAGTTCTTAGCTTTCTTTTTAAAAGTTTGTTTATTTTGATGACTTGATGAATCAATCATGAATAAAATTTTATATTTTCAATAAATAAATAATTAATTTATCTATTATTTTCCTCATTGATCAAGATGAAGAGCAAGCAATGCAGTTTTATTATTATTAGTTGATTTGTGGTTTGTTAGATATATTACATGTGTCAATTAAATGATTTGTATTATATAAGTTGAGATTAGTAAATTAAAAGCAGTTGGATAAATAAAGGTGAGGTTATTTTATTCTTTGTTGATAGAGTATCAACTGTTTAATTAATATAAATTATTAATCAATGAGTTATTATTTTTTGATTATATGCTTTTTTTAAATTTAATTTAAATATGACTTGAGTATTATTTGTTTGATAGAATAGACTATAATTAGATGTAATAACTATATATTGTAAATTTATTCTAGACGTATGAGATAATTAAAAGTTTTTTATTAGCTTTGAGAGCAACCAGATTCAATTCAAGGAAGGGCTCTAACTTTTATTCAAGATATAGTAAATTATTTAGCATTGTAAATAGATTAACATTGATTTATTTCTCCTAAAGAAGCTTATGTCTGCATGTTCATTTAATTATTGTCAGCTTATTCACGAATATAATAAAGAATGTGCTCAAAAGAAATGCAGAGTGTTGTAATTAAATGTCTGTGAAGAGGTTGAATTAAATTTTCGTAATTATCTTATATAAAAATGCAGCTAGTGTAAAAGCCAGGAGTATTAAACATACTGATAAAGTTAATATTTAAAATTTGTCTTGAATCTGCTCCATCGCCAAAAATATTTTTGTCAATTTAATAGATTGAATTGTTAAATTTTTAAGCGATTGAATATATTTATTCTGTGATTGCCATGAAGTTACTACTTTGAGGTTTTTAAAATATTTTTTTCATTTTCTTTAAGCACTCAGAGAATAATTTGTTTTAGACTAAAGTTTATTTAAAACTCTCTAACTTTTAAGTTTCAGCGAGCTCAAGAATTGGAATATAATTCTAATTTATAATGAAAAAAGAAAATTTAATAAAAAAATAATTATTAGATTAAGTTATTTTATCAATTTAAATTTTGATTCTTATTTCTCTCAAAAATGTAATCTCTAAATAATCTAAATTTATGATTATAAAATAATTTGGCAAATCAGCGATAAATCAGTATTATTTATCATCTTACACTGTGTTGAAAGATATTACTTCAAAAAGAATGTTCAAGTTAGATAAACAAAAAATTTTATATGAGTAATTATTTGTTATTATTATTATAGAGTTTTTATGAAGAGGTTTAATAAAATAGAAAAAATAAAAATTAATCAATAGAAAAAAATTAAAATTCTTTTGATTACTTGCTTAAAACAATTACTTATCTTATTTGATATACTGGTAAAGATTTAAATTTAAAAAAACTCATTTATTTTTGTTTGTTTTCTATCAAAATTAAAAGAAAAAAACTATTGTTGATTTATTCAAAAAAGTTTTATTTAATTTAATCAAGTTTTTTTGTTGTAAGTTAGCTTTTCTTTTTTGTAGGTGAAGAAAAATTTGTATTAGATGAAGCTATATTTAAATATTTATAGAATAAATTTATTTACTCAAAAATATTAAGTGCGAGTCAACTTTTATTTAGTTTCTTACATATGAATAAAAAATACTCCATGAATTTGTAATTAATATTTAGGATATTTTTAGGTAAATTGCTAGATTAGTGGGATATAGATTTAAATACTGAATTAATTAATCATCAATTATTACTGATTAATTTACGCTTGAATTGCTTTTTAAAAGAATTTTATCTATCTAGTACTAAGAATTATATAATGGGAACTAAATGTTAAAATAATAAAATACCTCAAGTTGTTATTCCTAATAAGAATAATATAGTTCGTAGCTCTAATAATATTAATGTATGAATTATTTAGCTCTTTGTTATGCCTTTATGTCGTCATCTATAGAACTTGGTCTGAATATTGTGTCTTAAATTATTTATTTTATTAGTTCTTTATTTATCTTTAGGTTTATTTTTTTTATGATAATGGCGAAGAATTCGTAGCAAAAGTTTTTAAAATTTTAAACATCATTTTTTAATTAATCTAAAAGAAGTTGCTTAGCTTCTTGAGAGTCCAAACTTCTGATATTTGAAGATTTACTTTCAAAGCTCGCAAAGAAAGGCATAAGGAATAAATCAACCATAGTTTATTATATTACATCTTAAACAATTGACTCGTTTTGACTATTAGTGTCTAATGAAGGATCAGCTGTTTGAATTATTTATAATTAGTTAGTAAAAATGTAACTATTAATAAAGAATATAGCACACTCTGATTAAAATATTTTTAGTGTACTATACATTTAGGTTAATGGCAAGAATGAAATTAATTGCAAAATATTTTACATTAAAATTGTTTGAGACCCTACTTCATCAAAAGAGAGACTAAAATTGATCTTATTGATTCTTCGTTTAGCTTACTCTCAATATCCTGAATAATGTAATTTAAGCTTATTGGCTAGTCATTAATAAGCTTTTTGATGCTGGTTAGAATATCTTTTAAGATTGACTGATGTTAATTTAAAATAAAAAGTTTAATTTTATATAATTTTAAAATGTACTATAACCAAAAGTAAATAAATTCTTATTCATACTTTTACTTTCAAAATACTATACACTTGAATTTAAAATATGATTTCAAAAACAGTGGATTGAGGAACTTATTACTTAATTTTCTAAATTTATTTTTCATTCGCTTTTTTGTTACAAAATTTCAATAGTAATATAAATAAAGTATGTCTAATCTCAATTCCTTTTACAGTTGTATAAACAAACAACTAACTGGGTAAATAAAAATACTGAAAATACAGCTTTTTTAAATATTGAAAGGTACCTTAAAAAGCAATTAGTATTATTTAAAAAATGCAAGTATTTCATTAATGCATTTCATAAAACCTCTAATCGACAAAATAAATCATAGTGTCAAAAAAAGTGAGATATTTTTCTGAAGTGCTTGTACTTCATATATATATGTAAAGATAAATAATAGAGATAATAGGAAATTTTAACAATTTTTTTTTTCCCTTTCAATTTTTATCTTGATTTCAAGTAGATATTGGATCAAAAATTAAAAATCAAAATTTATCTATAATTTATAGAGAAAGCTTTAGCATGATAAGATAGAATAGTAAAATCTCAAATGAAAATTTTACATCAGTTATTAGTGTTTTGTTGCGATCGGCCTGATGCGAAAAAGATTTGTTTCTCTCAGTTCTACTTGCTCTTCTTCTTATTTCTCTTGGATTAGCATCAGCATCTTAAGCAGATTAAGTGCTTCCCATAAAAATATATATTATTAAAATGTGATTAGTATAAATCTTATTTTTCTTTTTTTTAATTTCAATTAGTCTGAAAGGAATTTTTAATTAATTATTATTTTTTTCATTAATTCAGATTTCAATTAGGCAGGAAATAGTAAGCGATATATCTTAATTAAAGCAGACTACTTTGATTATTTTCTGAATAGCATACTTTTTTTTCTGATTACTCTTTTAGAATTATGAGTTCATCATAAGCAACAATAGGAGGACCCTTAGGATATTAATTAAATTTGCAAATTTTCATTAAAAAATCAAGCTTTTTTATTTATTATTTGCATACCTTTTTTAGGAGGGGAACATACACTTTACTTCTCCTATTTTTTTAATTGGACCATGCAATTACTTATCTGCTGGTCATATATAAAAACGTTTAGATAGGGTATAGTTTACCTTTATTTCTAAATATTTCATCTCTGATTACCACCATCTAATATTATTAAATGTGATTATATTAATTTTACAATTCACATAAATTGAAATTATCACTTTTCTTAAGAATTGACATTTATTTTTCATATTTTTAAAAATTTACAACGTAGATATTTATCTATTATATTACATTTTAACATAATGCTTTGAAGATTTTTTTAACTGGATTAATCTATCTGCTTAACGAAAAAATAGAAATTTTGCTTTAAATTTTAATAAGACTGTTAATACCAATCTAAATAAGAGAAAATAACAAATTTTCATATTTACTGAATAAATTAAGAGGTTATTTTAGAAAAATAATTCAAATTAATTCATTCTCTCAAAGCTAAAATAAACTATTTTTATAAATAGATAAATTTTGTTTGTAATAAATATTTTCCTTAAACTAAATCTATGCTTTAATAAGTTTGTAATAAATCAATTTTAATTCAAGTATTTTATCTATTTCTGAACTATTATTATAGTACAACGAACTAGCAAAATAATAAAGAATTCAGCAGAAAAATCTTACAAATCAATGTTTTCTAAAATAAATCCACTTTTATGAAATAGAAAAACAACCGAAATTTAAAAAATTTTTTGACGTTTTCCTAACCAATTTCTAGAAATTTGAAAGTCCTTCAATAAATAGTTCCTATTTATATTTTTTTAATAAACCTTGCATCAATAAAGAAGTTAATGAGGTTAAAATTAATTTTAAGATGCAGTAAGAATCAATAATAAAATACATACCAATTTAAAAAGAGTGAAAAATATTCTGACGCTATTTGTCTTTTAATTTAATATTTTATTTTAATTTATAAAGACATCACCCATATATTTGACACGATTCATGCACTTGCATCTAATTACTTAAGAATATCGTAAATTTATCTTACTCATTTTGAAGAAAATGACGGTATTTAATAATATTTGATATTATTAGTACAATGTGCATAAAAATCATTTAAATTTCAAAATCGAATTTAAATATGCAATTTAGTATGTCTTAACTAAGTTAAGTTAATATATTTAGACTGTTTGATAGGTGAGTTAGAATTACTATTAGAATTTATAATGTGTACTCTTTTCATGTTTACAACTATTCTTAGATTTAGTTGGGCTTAAAAATAATATTCAAATTCAAGCAAAAGCACAAGTAAATCTGAAAATCTGTAAGCAAATAATAAATAAATGAATCAACTTTAACTAACAATATAATAGATGAGATTTAATTATCATTCAGTTTCATTTTATTTTTTCTATGAAATAAATCTATTTTTTTTGCTCAACAGACTTTTCATTCATTTAAATAAAATTAATCAATTTCTGTTAAAATAATAAATTTCATTCAAAAATTAGATTGTAAATTTAATTAAATATACCCTTTCTATCCATAATCAAACCTTTAGTGAATCTACAAATTCTCCTTACTAATTTATAAAAAAGTAAGAATTTAAGAAGCACATTTTTTTTTCAAATATTTTAAAGTAATTTTTATATTTGAGGCAATAAATATATCTTATTTAGATATATAAATATAAAATTATCTTTCTTAAAAATCCAGTAAAAAATAAAATTTCTATTTTTTTAACTTAAGTTAGTGTGAAGTATTACGATTATGAAGGAATTCAATTTAAATTTTTATGATATGTTTGATTTTATTCTTTATTTAAAATATCTTTTGGGGTATTATCTAATTTCTTTTATTAATTTAGATTTTTCTTTTAAAAAATTTGATTTCAAACAAAAATGGAATATTTTTTCTGTTAATTTTTGAACTAAATTACAAATAAATTTAAAAATATTTTTATTCTTGATAAAAATTAATTCTAATAATATATTTTTTCTATGTTGATTTTTTTGATATTCGATTTATGACATTAAATCCCTTAATTTTTCTAATTATTATTATGAATTATTTGATTTTATTTAGTTTTAGATTTTTGATTAATGTTGATAATTTCTTATTAGAAATTTAAATTAAATAAATTATTAAGCTTAAATTTAGCTATTTAAAATGTAATTGTAAGCACTATTTGTTTTTTCATACAAATTGAATATATTATCTGAGTTTCTTTTAGAAATTAATTATTCCAGCATTTTATTAATATAAAAATGTAACAAATAAAATCTTCTTAGTGTAAATTAAATATGGAGTAATTATGAAAAACAGCTGATGTATTTTTGTGAAAAAGTAGAAATTAGTAAAAATTAATTTAAAATTAGTATAAATTTTAAATATTTTTTTCAAAAGAATATTCTAAATATCTAAATAAATGATACTCTGATTAGTAAAATATAAAATATAATATGTCTTCTTTATTTATAATTTAAATTATCTATAAAGGACTGATTTAATACTTAAGGAATAACTTAGATTAAATTATTTATAAAAATAAATTAAAAATTTTTTTATAATTTCAACATCGAAAAGGGCTTTAAATCTATTTATTTATAATAAGAATTTTTACATTAAAATCTATTTAACTCTGATAAAATGCATTAAAATTTAGAGTATTAATTTTTTAACTTCATTTAAAAAATATATGGAAAAAATTTATAAAATATTTTTTTTAAATATAAATTACATTTTATAATAAATTTGAATATAAAATTACTTTTAATAATTGGGTTGAGTGTTATTTATTATTTTAAATTAATGTATTTATTCAATTTTACTATTTTGAATTTCAAAGTATTTGAAATTTAGTTTTGATATGTATAATATAAATATATAAAATTGTATAACCTAGATTTATAAAAAAATTAAAGCAGATAGATCAATATGTAAAATAAGGTATTTTAATTAAAAATGAATTTATAAAAGTTAGAATCTTTCAAACAAAAATTTTAACAACTATTCATCTTTAATATACTAGAAATAATAAATTTGAATGATATGCTTTTTAATATTTTAAATGAATAAATTATTTTTCATGTAATTTTCATAACAAAGATACACTTTTATGGTTTTTATTAAATTATTGCTGGTAAAGTAATAACTTTTTAAATGACTAAGCAACCATTTTTGCTTAATAGTAATTTATTTATAAGTATGAACAACTTTTTGATTTTAGAGTTAAAGTAGAAAAGGAATTAATTGAAATTATGTTTGATAAGAAAGTGACATAAAATTTGTAATATAGAGATAAAAAATAATATTTTAAATTTTTTTAATATTAAACTATGTTATCATAATATAGGAATAGAGTTAATTTGATTAACATTTATTTAACCGTCACCTCCACAAAAGTTCTTATTTTTTAATTTATCCTTAGCCTTTCTAAATCCTTTTCCTTTGGTTTCTTTAAGCTTTTCATTACCAATATCACCGAAAGCATCTCCTGCAACTCCAAATCTTAATTTAGACTAATTAAAATAATTTTTATTAATTAATATTATCAAAACTAATTGATAAATAAATAGGCATTTTTATAATATATAAATAAATTGATTTTCTTACTTCATGAGAGAAATCTTATTATTCTGGCTTCAAATATTTGAACATTCTATCATCACATTTTTAGAAATATTTTCTTTGACCAGGTTATAACTCTTCTTCTTCCAATAATTCTGGAATAATTTATTTTTTAACAACAGGCTTATCTTCTTCTTCATCATCAGACTCTTCCTTTTTGTTCTTTTTGGTTTTTTTAATAACAGGGGTTTCATTACCACTATCATTCTTTTCTTCTTCTTCATCATCTGAAACTTCCTTCTTTTCGTTCTTTCTCTTTTTATTTAGCTTTTCTTACTTCTTATTTTTTTTGGCTTTAATTTCGCTATCAGATTCTGATTCATTTTCAGATTCTTCTTCTTTGGCAATAAACTTTTAAATCATATGCTTGTGGTTGGTAACATAAAACTTAATAATCTTCTACAATTTTTTTTCAACTAAAGGAGAGTCCTATTATATATAAAAATAATATCAATAAATATTGTTTAAACAGTTTGGATTATGATAGTGATTGAGTTAATTAGTTCATTATAAAATCAAGTGATTATGCTTACAGAATTTTCTAAGTCTAAGCCTGATTTTTTCTAAAGCTTTTTAGCAACAGATTCAAGTCCGATTTGATTCAAGTACTTGTAAATGACTGGAAGGATATCAGTTGAAACGATTTTTCTAATTTCAGTACTCATTTTTTATTTAGGCTGTTTTTGTCTGCTAATTAATTTAATGATTATAACAAAAATTTATCTTAAAATTTGATAATAATACTGATTTTAGTTATCTAATTTTGTGATTTAAAATGAAATTTAATTTGCTCATAATTCTATTTATATTTGTATGGATATTTATCTTTTATATTTGTAATTTTGCCCTAATCCTTGATATTAAATTTTGTAAATTTGATATCTTTATAAATGAAATTTAATCCAATTATAACAGCTTTAAATTCATTTATAACAAAAAGAAATATTCAAAGTAGGAGTAATACTTCTTTTGCTATATGAACATTCATAAATTTGTAATTAAAGCATATTCTTGAAATTTCGGCAAAAAAAAAAATATTCCTGAATTAATATTAGTATAATTATTATGAAAGTTTTTTAATTCTAGTTTGAAAATATTAAATAATAATTATTAAAATTATATTTTAATAATTCAATTTAAATAAAAATAAATATAGCTCAAGTTATTTCTTAAAAATTAAAATAAATATTTCCAAAGTTTTTTTTATTAGATAAGAGCTTTTAATATTTTAAATTCATAAGCTCAAATTATTTTGATTTTATTAAAACATAGACTTGCTTTAGTAGTTTATTTTATTTGATAAATCATTTTATTTTTAATGAATTAAGATTAAAATAATAAATTAAGTTATTTAAGGATTCAATTTCAATTTGGCAAATTCTGAATTTGAATATTCTGAAATTAAGCACAGGCATTTCTATATAAAAAAAATGAATAAATATCTTTTAAATATAAAAAATAGTATTTAACATTGCAGAATAAAACTTTCATAAATACCATTAATTTCTTGGTTAATCCGATTTGTGAAAATATTATAAATGAAGCAAATGTATGAAAAAGGTCAATTTACTTTACAAATACTTATAATTTAATTCTACAAAATATCAACTTTAAAATATTTAAATGTGTTAATTATTTTATGAGGACATAAAGTACATGAAATAATAGGTAACATTGTGGATTGGTTATACATGAAAATGAATGAAAATAGGAAGATTACAATAAGAAAAGATGAAAAAACAATAATATTTGGCGAGTTGAGTAAATGAAGTGATATATAAGTAAATATAATCAATTTACCATTCTTCAAAAAATAAAAAATCTAAATGGCAATAATAAACGCACTAAAATAATACTAATAACTAAGTGAAAGAGATTTATGATTGTTTGCTCAAAAATAAAGCAATTTATATACGATTATTAATTAGTTCATTCATTCATTAATACCTTCATACAAAAAGTGATCAAATAACATAAGAATTTTTAACAACAATACAATAAGATAAATAAATATAAATCAAATACATACCCAAGAAAACTCAAATCTCTCATAATAGAGACATCTTACGAGTAGGAAAAAAAGCTAAATAATGAGTTTTCAAAATATAGTGTGCTTACATTTTCCAAGGATAGATTGCTTTTCTTAGCATTTGGGATTCTGGTGGAAAGGGAAGCATAAATATTCAACTCAATTAGGAGCTTTCTTCACATTTGTTATAGTGATATATTTTGCTTGTTTCACAGTTCTTTATTGGTAAAAATATGATAACTATCACCAAATTAATTTTGAATATTAGTATTTGCTCCGTCTACCTAAAAAATAAATAATTTTATTACTTCAAATAACAGAATATTTTCTTAATTATGAATAAATTAATATATTTTTAAAATCCTTAATTAGGATATAACATTAAGAACCAGGGTCTTAGTATTATCTCAAAATGGAAGAATAAGTTGATTAAGCTAATATAATAGGAGATATGAGCCATTCTAAATAATATATAATAGCATTTGGGTTATAAAATATATAAAATTAAATCGATTATAATGATATTTCTTACTACAATATTAAGGCAAAATATTTTGTTGAAAACACTAATTAAGATATATTAGAAAGATAATTATAAGGACTAAACCTTCCTTTATTTAAATGTAATGAAATTTAAATTGAAGATGATGCACTTCAAGAATTGAAAAAATTAGAAAATTATATGTGCACTGATCTTGCAAATATAGATATCAACTAAAATGACATGCTTAATCATATTACTATAGATTTTAATATATGTACACCAGTAAACAACTAATGTAAAGATCCTAGTAAAATCAACAGTATGTTAAATGATAATCTCTTAACAATATATATTCCCAGGATAGCTATTTCTAAAAATGTAATTTCAAAACATTAATTAAAATATCTAAACATGTTAATTAGATTAAAAATAAACTGAAAAGAGTTAATTAATAGTTATCAATTTAACAAAAAGAATTTAAAATATTAAAATACTTTTTTATTTATTTATTTAAAAAAATAATCATTTAATTTATATAATTAAACAGGATCGAAGTACAATTACAACAACAATAGAGAAGAAATACTATAGTCTTTATCAAAATGCATAATAAAAAATTAGTTTTTAGTTAAGAAGCAGTAGATAAGAAAGCTCGTAAAACATATTACTATATTACTAACAAAAGAACTCCTGGCTTAATATGATAAATTAATACTAAAGCGTTGAGAATCAGGTCAATTAACCTGGTGGAGATATAATTATAGCAAGTATAATCATAGATTATGATCAAGTAATATAGGATACTTATAGAGTTTAAAATTATGAAATAATTGATTTTATAGTTATCATTGTCAGCTAAACTTTATTTCTTTACTTCTTTTTCAGCTAAGTTAATAGTTTGAACTCATAAAAAAACATAAATAAAGAAATTAACGATAGATTACTTCATAGTAAAGAAGCTGAGACTAAGCTCCTTCTAAAACTTGTTTCTGTAAAATAAATAAATTATTTTATAAATTAATTGTTTGTTGATAATTATTAAATTTGAGTAAATTTATTTTAGAATATTAAAAGTTTTCATTATTTATTTTCTATAATATTGAAAACATTTTTTAAAAAATTTCTCAAAAAATTTCATTTTCAATTTAAAGATTTTTTTGAAATTTAATATCAATAAAATATTTAGAAATTCATAAATAATTTTTTATATTGTTGGTAAAATAGAAGGCAAAAGAAATACTTGCAAATAGAAAGAGTGTTGGAAATAAACTTTAACCAATTAATGATAAAAAATAAGATTTTGAATAATATGCAGAAGATAATCAAATTTCTGTTAAAGAAAAAAAAGATGTAATAATGAATACTGATAATTTTTTCTAATTTGATCCAAATAACATACATAATAGAAGTCATGAAGTTATTAATAGTAATAATGTTTCATTTATTCCAAATTATTTTGGCTTTGAGTTGTAGAATGTTATTAGACCTGGTAGATCAAGCAGATACTCAATAGCTAACCATGAGTTAGGATGTAATATGAAAAAAAAGAGTACTTATGATTATTAATCAACTTTATAGTAGTTTCACTAATAAAAATCTAATATGTAGAGCGTTCATAATCTAAATAATAGGAAAACAAGTAATAGTATAGCAAAAGCTTAGTAACAAGGTATGAATAGTGCCTTAATTTAATAGCCTAGAGAATCTATTACTAATGCAGGAAGGAACTCGCTATTAATTCCATCTCCAAGTCTTTAAAATATAAATTCCTAGATAAATCTTTAAGATTAAAGTGGCCACATAGTGGCTAATTATCCTATATTAAATAATAACAACTTTAACAATACTCTAACTGAAAGAGCAAATACTATTTTATCACCTTAAAATATTGATTCAAGAGGAACAGCTCTGAAACATAGTTTTTAGAAAAAAGATTTAGAATTAATAAATGACGGTGATAATATCACACCTTTAATCAGTGAAAAACAACCTAATTCTACAAATAGGAATAGTGTGAGTAATTTAGTCAAAGTAGATTTGAAATAAATATAAAAAAAAGATTTTTCAGTAAATGAAGACATTAACAACTAAGATTTTGAGAATGATGTTTCTCAAAACTATTTTTAAAATAACCCTAATGGAGGTTTTCATAGTCTTAGAAGTAGATAGCAAAGCCTCTTTGGAGCTTCTAGTTTGAAAAAAAAATAGTCTTTTCAGCTTTAAGGATTCAACATGTTTCCTTAAGTTAATCACTAATACGGTGGAGCAGCTAACTTTGTAAATAATAGGCTACCCGTTATTAATTTAAATGCAGTTTAGCAAGATAACAATAATAATATTGTCAACAGTATTCAAAATATTAATAATACTAATAATAATTTGCAAGTGAATAATTGCAATTGCAACATTCATAATTGTAACAATAATGTGAACATTAATATTAATAACAATATAACTAATATGAATTAATAAAATGGCTTATGCATAACTTAAGCAAGAAACTCAAAAATAAAATTTGACAATAAAAGTTAAATTCAAAAGCTAGAAAAGGTTGAAGAAGACAACGAAAGAGATCATGAACAAAGCACAAAAAAAAGATTTTCGATTCAAGATTTAGACTTTGTTTATTTTTGCTCTCTAGAAAAAGATAATTAAGATAATAAAAAATAAATTCAATATCCTTTACTAAATGAAATTAACTTGATCAAAATATTAGAAAAACTTATGGAATTAGAAAGGCTAAAAAACATTCTTTTAGACTCAAAATAGTTAGCTGTTTTTGAATATATTGTCTAGTCACCTATTCAAAAATAAGATTATTTTAATTAGTTCTTTAAAAATACCAATAACACCACTAATAATAACAATAACCAAGTAACTTAAAACCTCCATAATATAGGCTCTTTTAATACGTAAATTATTTTTTATAAATTTGCATAATTTGAAATATTATTTTTATCAATAGAACTTCAAGTAGTAGAGACTAGGTGTATTTTCATGAAGAAACTATCATTAGAGGGTAATTTTTAAATTTATATGAAAATAATTTTAAAATTATTTTTATTTATAGTTGGAAAGCGATGGTAGAGATAGAGAAGTAAAAGAATAAATCAGATTTAGATTTAAGACTGATTAACAGTATAAATCAGAATATTTATTTGTTAATTAATTTGAGTAATTTGGATGACGTTCTCTAACAAAGCCAAGAATAAAAAAATAATGGAAATGAAATGATTTCTAATTAGTTAATTAATTTCAATTAAACAGTTGAATAGGCTTCTTTAGTTCCTACTAGAGCAAGAGGATTGGCAGATGCTATTAAATAGAGAAATTAAAGAAGCTTATCGGAATCTAGCTGCAATAGAATAATTGCAGATGAAAACTTTAATTATTGAAAAGTTAAAAGTTTTAATAACCATTCATACATAAAAAGCAATTAATAAATAATAACTAAAAAACCGATTTTAAATATGAATTAGGTTTATTTGATAGTTGAAGAGCAGGTTTTCTTTCTTTCTTTCCTAAATAAGTTTTTATAAAATAAAAAATAAAATCAACCTTAAATTATAAAAAACAAAAATAAATTGATTTTCTTCTTTTTCCTTTTCTCTTCCTTCAATATATATTTTATTTTCAATTAATTATATTATAAACTTCTTTAAAAATATACGTAATAAATATATAATAAATCTAAAAAAATTTACTATTTTAAAGTAAAATTAAACATATATTAATATGCATGCTACATTTTTAATTTATTTATAATTTGTTTGTGTTTAAGAATTTTATCTATTTTATACTTAAATAATTAAATATATTTTTTAATTTTTATGTTTTTATTGCTAATTATTGATACCAAATGGTAAATTTATTAAAATAAAATATTGTTGCTTCAAAATTATTTGATAAAAATTAAAAACAAAAAAAATAAAAATGCCAAATTAAGATTTTATAAATTAATTTTTACACTAAATAAAATGAAAATTATAAATATTGATGAATTTATTTATCCTCCTTATTAGAATTAGATAGTTTAAAAATTATGTATATTATTTTGTCCAAATTAATATTATAAAACAAAGTGATGACTTTCTTAATATATGATTTTTAAAATGTAAAATAAATAACAAAAAAATAAAAATATCAAAATAAGAATTTTAATTTAGTAGTGAAATTAAATAAAATTTAAATTATAGTAATGGCATGTTTAAATTTATTAATTGAAAAGACAAATTTTTAAAGATTTTACTTATCCTTTTTAAAAAAATTATAAAAACAACATAAAGAAAAGTAGAAAAAAATATTTTAATATTTAATTTATTTTGCTAAACTAAATAAACTTTAAATTATTATAAAGAGTATATTTAATGATAGAGTCCTCTAATTTTGACAATTTAATTGTTCTCCATAAAAATTCAAAAAATTTATATTTAATTTATTTATAAATCTAACTAAATTAAGATTCAAAAAATATTTCCTATTTTTATCCAAATTAAGCCATTTAATTTTATTATTAATTTCAATCATAAAATTCATGATTTTACAATGCAAATTTTTTAAATTTTTAATTTCTTAGAAAAAATATGAAATATAAAAAAAATTTTATCAAAGCCAACATGTACTTTAGAAAAAAATATTAATTATTAATAAAATACTTATACAATTTATTTAATTAATTATAAAATTTTTTAAAGTATAAACTCTACTTTAAAGATGTTAAAACATTAAAAATAAATGCTTATTTTTAGTAATTAGTAACATATTAATGAATTCATTTAGTAGTTTGCAAATTTAGGTCATATTGCAAGATTGTATGAATTATAGATAAATGCCATAACTCCTATTGCCATTATAACATATGGAAGATATTAGTTAGGAAAAGTAGAGCAATATCTATTCAATTTATAATCCATGCCATAATCATTTTTCAATATTTTTCTTCCTTCTAATATTGAGGCAGTTGGGATAATTAAAAAAATGATTACACCTAATGTTCCTACAATCAAATCAATCACAAACTAGATATTTGTTGCTAAAGCACTTATAGCACCTAAGAATAAAAGAATACCAACTGTAAAACTAAATGTGTAAGGAGTAACTTCACTACTTATTTTTGGGATTTTTGAAGGAGCAAAAAGCTCCATCATATTGTTTCTTACTGTAATTATAAACACGGGATAAGCTATAGCATTTAGGAATATATAAAGGGCAGATGTATAATAAACTATAATCTCATTTTATTCAAAGTTGTAGTTAATAAAATTAACATCATATTTATCTATAAGTGCTTCTCCAAAAGCGCACACCCCAAAGAAAGATATACCTAAAATGATTGAAAGACCAAGTATATGGGTTCCTTTTAATACCCATTTAACATGCTTTTAAGGAGTAATTGGTTTGACAAAAGCTGGAATAGAATGGTGAATACAGAAAAACATTGTAGTTGAACTAGACAAAGATGGAAAATTAGTTATATTTACTAATGGATAATCCTTAAACTATATACCCTAAAATCCATCTAAATAAATCTAATAAAAACAAGCAAAGAATATTAAAGAAACTGCTGTTAAACGAATAATAGCTATGTACTCTTAAATCCAAGCAAATGAAGACACATTTTTAAATGAAAACAATGATGTAAATAAAATTAAGCATCCGAGCCAAAAGTAAAAATTATTTAACAAAGAAATTTCAGAAAATGTATTTTTTAAAATACGAGCTATTGAAATGCATCTCGCTATTGTCACACCTATCAAAAAGATAATTACTATTAATGAAACTACAAACTGTGCTTCTTTTCCCCAGAAAGTCTATGCGATTTCACCAAGTTCAAATTTTGTATTAATACGAAATTCTCTTTTCAATTTCTTTTTTTACTACTTTTACAATATCTTTTAACCTTCATTATCACCATTAAGTTAATCATCATTGTTTAATTAGTTTGAATACTGCTAAGAAATTTATTCTTTTCTAAATTTAATGTAATTGCAAATACCAATTGACTCTACAACATATTCTGCAGATATGTAAGATATAGCAGCAATTAACAAAAAAAAGACTGAACTAAATAATGCACCAGCTTGTAGGTAGCTGTTAGGCAGAATTAATGGAGCAATACCTAATAAAAGATTGCAAGCAACAAACAAAGCTTAATACTTTGTCATAACATCTTTTAAAAGAGGATACTCATCAGAAATAGATTACGAGTCTCTTGCGTTATCTTCTTTTGCGAAAAGACTTTTAGGGTTTGAATATAGCTCTTAGCCTACCTCTTTTGAATACTTCTATTTGTTCATTTAAATTCAGCAAAATATCTCCTTAATCTAACTTTTAACCTAAAACTCAATTTGCAGCTAAACAATAAGTAATTAATTAATATACTTTTTTGTAATTACTTTATTAAATTTTTTTTTTTTTGAATTAATTGAATTATTTAATAAATAAAAATCCAAGGGTTTTATATAAAGATATTATCAAATTTTAGATATATTATTCAAGCTTTAATAAAAGCTAATTTCAAAATATCTCTGAATATATCAGAAATTTTCGGTATCATTTTTACATGCTATTTTCCTTTTTTCAATAAATTTATTATTGAATTTTATAAGCAAAACGTGTTTATTACTTGCTTTTGACTAAAAATAATAACCTAATATAAATAAATACTTATCATGATATTTTATTTAATTAAAATTATTTATTAAATCTTAAAATTATATTATTTATTATATCTTTTATCAGCTAATAATAGTAATTAGATTATATAAAAAATATCTGAATATTACTTTGTTTACTTTTGATTACTCAGAAAATATATGTTTTCAAGTAATCTAAACAAAATAAAAAATTAAACAAATTTCACTTATTTTTTTGAGGAAAAAAATTTGATTGCTTCTCAAAAATTATACTTGAGAGTAAAAAATATAATTTAAATGAAAAACAAAAGAAGAATTTTAGAAGAAAAAAAATGTTTAATAAAAATACTACTTGAATATTTAATTCAATACTTTATTTTAGAGTTCCTTTTTTATTTTCCAAATAAATTTATATTTTAGTTCTCAAATATATTTATTTTTTGAAGAGCAAATAAATTTTTTTCCCATATTTTTTTCTAAGAGTATTAAAAATATCGTTTAATTAAATTATACAGATTTTAAACATAATTTTTTATTAGTTTTACACACTTTAATTAATTTATGATTGGTTTAATCATGTCATGAATATTGATAGATGACATTTAGTAATAAATTATGATTTATATTTTATAATTCAATAAATTCACTTCAGTAAAATTAAAACACGAAGCAACTTAGATATTAAATTTTAGAAACTTTGTAAATTAAAATTAGAGTAATTTTAAATACTTTTTACTATTTTTTACCACTTTCTAAATAGATTTTAAGATAACTTACTTATATCGAATATTATGCAATTTTTATTTAGAGAATAATTAATTATTAGTTAATTTTAATACATTAAAATAAATATCGAAAGTCAAGAAAAAGCTATTATCTAATTTTAGTAAAAGTTAATTGCTTTTTTTATCAAGAATTATATGTTTAAGATGATTAAGCTTAGCTAAAATTTATTGCAGAATTTCGTAAAATATAATATTAACTTTATTATTAAGAAGATAGTTAGGATCTTTCATCTGAATTGGAAGGTGAGGATTGTTTTTTTAGGCTGGTTTACTACCTTTTTAATTCTGTAGGCTATGATTACTTTTGCGTTTTATTCTACTATTATTGTATAAAATCTTTGTACGCTTTATTTACATTATTTTATTTAATCCTAAAAGATGGTTACGAATTGCTTTAGTTTATAGATCTTGCTTTTTAAGTAGGTGTTTTAGATAAAATCTAAGAACTTGAGTCAATTTGGTTGTCTTCTTAAAGTTCTTATTTATTACTTTGAAAAACAGGAGAATTAGCATCCCTTAATCCTTTGGCTGTATTCCAGACATTACCTGAAGGAGGTCTGTATGCAATAATTGCTTTATTTATCGGAGATGAGGATTATTTTTAGCTTGAAGGTATAGTGATTTTATTTAAAGTTGAGTTTTATTTATATATTGATTTTTATGCAGGAGAATTGGGATCTTGTTGTATTGCAGCTATTATGCCTCCATAAATTGAATTTTGTAAAGGTGTTTAAACTGTCAAAGGATTTTCCATACCTTCTTTTAGTGAAGTGGCTTTATTAATTTTAAAAATAGAGTAATCTTTTTATAACTGTAGAGAATGTAAATCTTATTATAATTTATTAGTTTTCTGGGTATTATTTTATTATTATTCTTCTATTACATAATCATTTTCGATACTAATTTGATCTTACTGAGAAATTTGACAACCTTAACTTTTATCATATGATGGGTTACTAAATAATTTTTATTCATTTTGTTACAAATTCTTATTTTGATTATTTTCTGTATTCAGTTAAATGCTTTAAGGATCTAATAATTTATTTTAGTTGATTGGAGATATTATAGGACTTGTATTTAAAGATATTTTTTGAGAAACATCAAAAAACATAAACTAGTCCTAAATTTGTATTTCAGATATTTTTCTAAAATTAATATTGCTTTCATCATTTTCAGACTATTCATTGTCATTAACAATATTCATTTATTGCATTTCATTTTTTCTTTCTTCTCTAAATTTTAATTTATTTTTTTATTTTAGTCAAATTTTATTAAATTAAAAATAAATTGTTATTCTAAAATAAAATAAATACTCAATATTGAATTGTTGAGATAGATTCGGGAAAAGGGTGAGATTAAAGTCTGTCATCAACTTCTTCATGCTTAAATTCTGTAAGTTTTTTGGCGATTTCAAGGAATAAGCTTCAAAAATCTCATCTTATGAGGGCAAAAAGGGAGATTTTAATTTAATTTTTTCTATTTAATTTCTCTATAAAAATGCCTGCCCAAAATTATATTTAGAAGTTTAAAGGAAAAATTTTTCAAGATTTTAATTTTTAGTATTCTCATCACCAGATACTCCATCTCTATCACCTCTTAACTTCTTGCCATTTGTATTTCTTCCTTTTTATTTAAAATTAATATTGTCATTCATATTATTACCCATTTCATTTTTATTTTTTTTGCTATCTTCATTTTATTTCCCGTTTAGATCAATGCCATCTTAATTTAAACCGTTTTTATTTAATGATTCATCTGAGTTATCTTGTTTTTAATTATTTTATTGCCCATATGCTAATTCATTTTATAAATTATCATTTTTTATTTTATCAGATTAAGTTTATTCTGATTCATCTGTTTAAAGTCTAAAATTACAACTAATATTTTATTAGCTTTATTAAGTATTTTAACTTAAACCATTATGTTTATTTTATTTTCTGCAGTCGTCTTCAGGTTCAGAATCGCTATCTTTATCACCTGATTGTTTTAAATTAACCTCCTCATCATTTGTGTTAGCATTATCAGTTTCAAGATCTGCTTCAATATCAGCCTTAGCTTGACTTTAACTTGATTGATTGAGTTATTATTATTCAATTCTAGGTTCTTTGTTTTGCTTTAGTTGTTGTTTTTACTCTTTAAATTCTTTAAGTTCTTCAGCATCTTTTTAGGTGTAAAATTTATTCCATTCCAAACCTTTTTTTAATGCAAAAAGAACCTTTATTTGCTCTTTAGTTTAAAGCACGTACTTTTAAAATTTATTCAAAGAACTTTTTTGATTAGCTTTATTTTAGTTATTTGTGGGATAAGATTATTCTTTAGAAATAGTTTTTTATTAAATTTTATCATCATTTTATGTACTTTGTTTCATCTCATTCAAAACTCTTTTAGCTTACTCCTCTGTTTTTGATGAGCTTTAATTCATCAAATCTATATTTACTATCACTTACTACTGATTGTCTTCTTGATTTGTGATAGCTTACTAGTATTCTTCTGATTCTATATCCTAGAAACTTACTTAATTAGATATTGTTAATGAATCAGCTCTATGGTCAGTAAAGAGCTAAATGTCTTTTAATTTTTCTTTCTCATCAACCATCTATTTCAATCTTAAAATTTAAGACAAAGCTATTGAAGCTGATTTTATATTCTTTTTAACTTTAGGTGACAATGAGTCTTTATTAAAGATACTTTTTATTTAAGTTGACCTTAATATAGAGCTATCACTGCTTAAATTCTAAAGATTTTATTAATACTTTTTTGAAATAGTCATTTCTTATATTTTATTTAATTCTTCTTGAGGGATCTCCAATTCTTATGGAGCTTGCCCTGTTAATAAAGTTTCTTCATCAATGTCTAATTTTTCATTCAACTAGGCTTACTCTATCATCAACGTAAGGCAGCCAGAAAACTGTAATATAGACTTGCAAACTTACTATCCAATATATTCATAATCTTAAACACTAAAGTGCTTTATTGATTTATCTGATTGATCAATAATCAAATTATCACCTATTTTTAGGCCATTAAAAACTTCTTTACTTCCAAAAAATGAGGTTTCCAAGGTATAAGAATTTTCTACTTTCAAGTCTCTCCAAACATATTCACGTGCACAACAGTTCTTATGAGCTAATTTTATTTAACAACTACTTTAAATTGTTTTTTAAAAAAAGAACATATTTACTTGATATAAAAGAATATTTGCAACTACTGATATCAAAAAATTTGCAATTTTCAGCAATAACCTTTGGAAAGAGACGCACCTTTGCCCATTCAAGGTTTGAAGAATCTTCTTTTAATGTACACAATAAAAAGCTACCAGGTTTTACAGTATGACCATGTAAATCTAAAAACATATATACACTTTTGTTTTCATCATTTAATTATTAAATTCTCTATTTTATGCAATGAATCTCTGGGTAATTATTGCTATCACTAAATTCCCATCCTCTATTCAAATCAACTCCCTTTACTGAGGCTCTACTGTTTCCCACAACTACTCCGTCTGGATTTACCATTGGAATGATCTTTTTTTTAACTGTTGTTAAATTTTAAATCAAGTAAAAACTAAAATTACCTTGAAAATAAACATTTATCTTAATGAAATAGCTTCAGGTTCAGAGCTGAGTAAAAATTTTATAAAGCCCTTTTTTTAAAATTTAATTATTTATTTTATTCTTATTTTATTTATTTATTTATTACTTAGCAAACAAAGCTCCCTGGAGTCTCATTTGGATGTTATCTTGCGATTATAATTATGTATGGCCTCTTTTAAATTGGAAGGGCTCTTACAGAGTTTTATGATGTTATTTGTATTTCTGTAATAGGCAAACCTATAATAGAAGCGCCTGAAGTATATAAAAAAAAATAAAAAATAAAATCCTTCCTTTATTAAAATTTGATGTTACCAATTATTGTCTTTTCATAAATAAAATTAAAAGTATCAATTGTATAAACTCTTGTGTCATTATTAAAAGAGTACCTGAACAAAGGATTTTACTATTTAATAGTTGCTTCTATATTTTCTATAAATTCTATTAAATTTGAGAAGGTGTAAGGGATAGCTTACGAGAATAGGATAGTAGAATCTTTAGAGTTAATTTAAAATTAATATATAAATGAAAGTCCATGAAAATAGTTTTTAATAAACTTTTTGTCTTTTAATTTATAATTGTAAAACTTATCCATTTAGCTTGAAACGTCTAATCCAGCTTGTTTTAACTCTAAAATCTTTGTACATCTCTCTTCAATTTAAGGATTTTCAGGAAAAAATGTATTATCAACTTCAACAAAGTCATTTACTGGTAAAATTCTAAATGAAGACGTCCTCTTGAAAACTTTTCTTGGATAAGTAGATTATTGATACTTAATATCAAAAGCCATGTCTCTTCTCCAAGTTCTTAATTAATTGTTAAAATTGCTGTAAATCATGTTATCGTTGAGTCTAGCAATGCAAACATTCATACCTTATTGAAATAAAGATTTTTCTTTTCTGCAGTTCAGTATTTCAAAATTCAGACGTAAAGGTTCATTTGTTTTAACTTTTAAACCAAAATAAAACCAAGAAGTAAAGCCATCAGTATTAGTGTCAGCTTTTAATATAATTTAAACTTTTAAATTTTTAGGATCATAGTAGGCATGCAAAAAATTAGCACATTCAAAATCTCCAAATATTTCAAAGTCAGGATGTTGATTACCCTCTATTTAAAGATCTCTGATACTAAGAGGAGGTTAAATTTATTTGTCATTTTAAATTAAAAGACTGAATCTAGTCGAAGAGTAATAAGCTGCTTTGTATTGATTATTTTAACTAAGATTTTTTATTTAGTTCTCATTTTTATTGGCATCATTTTTTGCATTCTAAAGTGTATTGGAAAATATGACATTGTTTTAAGCTATTTGATCTGTTAATAAATTTTAATTGTGTAGAAATGATAAATTAAAGTTGCTAGGTCTTGATATAAATCTCTACCTGTCTTTGTATGCTTTAATTTAATTAGTAAATCCATAGCTTAGAGGTAAGCACAGTGTGAAGTAAATAAAGTCTCTCATTTAACTAGCATTTTTAAATTAAGTAAAATTTCTAATTGAAAAAACTTTTTAGTCTTATAATAATTGCTATAACTCTATTTATTTGTTTATTTTATTTAAAATGCTTTCATATTTGTAATAATCTATATCCATTTTTTTCATCTTTTATTCAAAAGGCTCTAAATCTCTAATGATTCCATAAGTAGTCCATTTAAGGCATCTACCACATATTTTACACCTACAGTTTTTCTCATCTAGAATACACTCATGGTCTTTTTTTTCTTGTTCTTCTCCTCTATACACCAAATTTTCCCTAATTATTTTTATAAAAATCATAAATGTTTTCTTTAAAACTAAAAAAAAAATTATTGTAAATATTCTTGCAAATTTAAGAGTTCAAGACTATTCATCTTCATACTAAATTAAGTATTTTTAGGTTTTTTTGGAATGAATCAACCTTATTCAGTGTTTAATTTTATCTATTAATGTGCTTTAAATTATTTATTTTTAGTAGAAGTATGCAGTAAAGAAGAAAACAGAATAATTTTAAAATATGAATTGACTTTTTCAGGAAAAAATATTATTTATTTTTTAAGAAAATACTTTCTAGCTGAGAATTAATTAAAATATTTTTCAATTTACATTTCAATTGATATTCTATTTCTACTATTAAAAAAAATAAATATGCTACGGCGATTAACCTTTGAATAAAATTTAAAAAATATTTTTTAAAGCTTGTTCTATAGCTATGAAGCTTTAATCTTAAGATTATAATGATTTTTACCTTTTTTAAGAGTTTAAAGATTTCCAATACAATTAATAGTCTGATTCTTATTTTCTTTCCATCATTAAGTCCATTGTTTCAATATCTAAATCAATAAACTTTAACTTAATTTTACCATCAAGCTAGTATTTACCACTTTCAACTAATTCATTTGGATTTTACAGCTTTTTTAGAGCGAATTAGGAATAACCTAGCATTTGAAATAAGAAGTTGTTTTTAGCAATAATTCCTTTTCAGTTAAATTACTTTAGTAGAATTTATGTTAATGTATTAATTACAACTTTTATTTTTCTTATTCTAAAAAATTTGATTAATTAATCTAAAAAATCTCTTAAAATTTAGAAGTGCTAGGATTACAAAAAAATTATTAACAGTAAAAAAAATAACATTAACCAATTATTATTAAATTAATTTTAAAAATAAAAAATTTGAGATATCAAAACTTTTTTTTTAATCTACATGAAAATAAAATAACACCTAAAAACAAAGATATTAAATATTTTATATATTAAAAATATATCTAATTCATTTCTTACGATACATAGATATTTCCTATTATTTAAAGTATCTTTTACCTTCATCATCAATTAAAATTAAGTTGATGAAATGTTTCACTTGGAATTTATTAGAAGTACTTTCTGAATAAGAAGGAGTCAAGTCAACACCACTGAGATACAATCTGATGGGAATAACTTCTCCTTTTCTAGGGCAGCCGTCCATAATTTCATAATCTACTAAAACTTCGTTATCTTTATTTACAACTCCATTATCTGTTTTTAAAAAACAAAATAAGTTAGTAAATGGTAAAAATATTTTAGCAAAATATATATAAAGATATATCAATTTTTTTTTATTACTGAGAGTGATTTCTTGACGGATAACTTACAATTACATATGTTTAATTCTTATTTTAACTAATAAGAAGTGAACCTTTCCAATCAAACAATCTTTTAAGTGGTATTTATCTTTAGAAAATTCGAATTCGATATGAAGACATTCTTGAATACCGACCTATCATTTAATTATTTAAATATTTAATACTAAATAAATTATTTTATTTTGGAAATCTACTTCAAGCTTGATAGGATTAGTTTCAATTTTATCTGAGTCTTAGCTAGGAAGGACGACAGCAAAATCAAGTGTTTAAACAATTTTTTAGTTATATTGTTTGTTGATACTTACTCTCAAAAAGTATCTAACCTTTGCAGATTTACCATAGTAAGTTTCGAAGGTCTTTTCAAACTTGGGGAATAAAAATTTGAATTTTTTATCTTCGAATAAAGTACCAGCAGGTTCCAATTCTCTGGCCATGCTCATAAAATCGCTATTTTGCTTGTTGTCATAAGTAACCTCTTTAAATATATTCAGAAAAAAGTAAATTTATTAAAATTTTGTTTCTTTTGATTCTTTAAATTGTATTTTTTATTAATCAACTTGCTTTTCGCAATTTTCAAAATAAAATGAATGTGATTTTATTTTATGTCTTAGAATATTTCTAAATATAATTTCCTCAATTTAAAAAACGAATAGACAGAATAATTTTTTAAAATTAAAATAAAGTTTTTCTCAATGGTTTTACCTATATGACCAACTAGTTCAACTCTAATACCTTGATGTTCTAATTTTTTACCCTTAATTCTAATATCTATTAAACCACTAATATCATCATCACCCTATTTATATTTTAATAAAATCATAATTGCTTTAAGCGAAACGATTATTTAAGATTATTTTCATACTGTATAAACGGGAAGCTTAAAAGGTTCTTATCCCTTAGGTCTAATAGTAGTTTTTTTTCTCTTTTCAAGACCATCTAATTCAATAGTAATATTTGCACCTGAATTGCCAAAACCGAAAAATGACTATTAATGATTTATTTAAAATAGTGTTAGAAAACTGTGATTTTTTATATGTAAGGTATTTTGCTAATTTATTGGGTTGCTAGACTTTTATGAAATCGAAATAATATTTAATTTAAATCCTACCATTTTCACTTAGATGTTTTTGATATTTCCTTTTTTATATAAATTGATTGATACTAATTAATATTAATTTTCTTTTTTATTTTTATAGTCAAATAAGAAATAGATACTTAAATTAAATATATGAAAATATATTTACGCACGCTATCAAGTCTATCTTATGAAGTATTTCTTTCTTAATTTCCTGATAATGACAAGCAAAATTTACCTAATTATTCATTTACTTATATATATAAATTTTGATTTTTATTAATAAGATACTTTCAATCCCTCGCTAATCTAATTTATTAGTTTTTTATCTAAGCTGTTTAAGTAGTTCATAGAAATCATCTCTTTGTCCCTTATTTTTTTCTCATTTCATTTAATATCATTAAACAAACTATGTTTTCACTTTCTGATAAATAAGTAAAATTCATTTTTTTAATTTTTCTGAGTAAATCCAATTTAAAAATTTTTAAAGAAACAATAGAATTAAATAAATTTCATTAATTTCAAAGCCTTTTTACAAAATATATTATAGCACTTCTTTCTATTCAAAATGAACAACCTAAACTAAAAAAATTTAAATTTGTTATTAATGTTTGTTGAAAGAAACTTAAAAGATGATTTTTTTACAAATATAAAATAAAATATTTAAAAATTATAATTTATGATAATGAATAGAATAAATTAAAATTTTAAATTATATTTATTAAGAATAAATATTATAATGAAGACTTCTACTTTATTTATTACAATCTTATCGTTTCAAAAAGATATTATTCAGTTTAATTTTTACTTAAAATTGTACCATACTATTCTCATTTTATAAAAAAATATTTTTGGATTATTTAAAAAAAATTACATATTTAATAAATTATTAAAATTATAAGTTATTTTTTTAATTAAATCATATATCTAGTTAAAAATAATTTCTTCTAATTTTTAGAAATGGTATCTCAGCTTAATATTGATTATTGACATAATATATTTAGCTCAGCTAATTTTTAAAGTCTGTATTACTAATCTTAATATAAATAGGAAAAATGTTAGAAAAAATTTAATAAATCTAAGAAGCTTTTTAAATAAGTTATTAGACAATCCAAACAATTATTAAAATTAATTTATTAAAAGAAATAGTTTTATAGTTTTATCATAGAAGAATAAAGAAAAAGTGATATAATTTTGAGTCTAAAAAAATCTTAAAAATGAAGATTCAAATAATCATTATTTAATTTTACAACAACATCTATTCTTTATATATAAATAATGTATAAATATTTATAAAATTTTATTTATATTTCATATTTTACTTCAGATAAAAGTTAAAATCAAAAATATTGGTTGTCTTATTGTATTAAACACAAAAAATTTATTATAATTATTCGAAATACTTCAATAGATTTTTATTTTAGATTTATTTTGATAAATGATGTACTTTATAAACATTTTTTATAAATATTTTATTTTAGATAAGCTCAAAAATTGTTTATATTAATAATAGTCATTTTTATAAGGATATGCTTTATAATTATACCAATCTTTTCTTTTTTAAAAAATATTAAAAATCAGTATGATATATTTCAAAAACTGAATTGAAAAATTCACAAATATATAAATTTTTATTAAATAGATAAAATTTTAATCTTTTAAATTTGATAAATATTAATTTTTAATACAAGTAAGATTGTAACTCATATTTTATATACTAGTATTAAGATGAATAAGCTTTCAAATCAAAAGGGCGAAAATTAGCGAGATAAGTTGTTGTTGCAAGCAAGACTTGCTTAATAGACATAAAGATTTGAAGAGATGGTCAAATTCGTTAATATGATTGCTTAAGAAGATGGTGTTTAGCTTAGAAGAGAAGAAGAAATTTTATTAAGCTCAGCATATAAAAGTTTAGTAGGTAATAAAAGAGCAGAGTTAAGAGTTTTAATGCAAATAGAGAAAAATGAGAGAGGCAATCAAACCCCTGCTCAAAATAAATATTTAATGAAATATATCAATAAAATTGAAAAAGAAATATGCCTGCGTTGCGAAGAAATTAATAGTTTGATAGATAGAAATTTAATGAAATATGTTTCTGATTTAAAATAAAAAATTTTGTACTTTAAGCTGAAAGGTGATTATATGAGATATTATGCTGAAGTTTTAAAAACTAGATTGCTAATGTATCATATGAGAGAATAATCATATTTATAAGACGATGATAGTAACCACTCTTCAAATAGAGATGAAGAAGATGAAAATGAATAAGCACTAAGTAACTTTGAATTTAAAGAGTTTGAAGAAGTAAATGAAGAAGCTCTTTTTGCATATAGTGAGGCAGAAAAGCTAGCAAAATCTGAATTAGCTCTGTCGAATCCATTGAGATTGGCATTATATCTGAATATGAGTGTTTATTTTTTTGAAATTTAAGATAAAGTTAAATAAGCTATTTAAATTGCAAATGAAGCATTTTAAGGAGCTATAAACAATATAGAAAGTGAAAACGAAGAAAATTATAGAGATTGTACATTAATTATGCAGCTACTAAGAGATAATATAACTTATTGGAATGAAATATATTAATAAAAAGAATATGATCAAGAATATTGAAATACTCTTTTAATAATAATCTTAATATTGTTTCATTTTTAAAAATTATAAATTAAAAAATGTATTTTTATATCAGAAGCAAGTGATATAAATTACAAAGAGCTTTGCTTGTTACTTAGTTAGTTATTAATTAACTCGTTAGCTAGTTAATCACCAAAATTTATTATTTTTTAAGAATTAAAATAATTAATTTAATTGATTTTAATTCATCATACTAACAATAGAATATTTAAATGTTTTTCACAATTCAAAAGAAATATTTTCTAATTTTTATTTCAAATGTTTTTACAAAAATTTTACAAAAAGAAAGCTATCAAAAAGTAATTTAGAAGCTTTATAATAAAAAATAAAATATGAATTAGTTAAGATAAAATAAATTTTTTGAAAGTTCATACAATATGTAAATTTTTTAAATTATATAGAGACTTTGTTTTAAGCATTTATTTTAAATCAATTAGAATTTGTTAATTTTTCTCTTTAAGTGTTAAACATATGATATAGCTAACGATTATTTTTATAATTTCTAACTTCTTCCTCGAAATTTTGTCCTTGAACGTTTTATGAATTCTCTTCTAATTCTGATATTTTTTAACCCAATGCTTAAATGATGCTCATATCTCCAAATCTCTTTTATTTTAGTTGGATTCTTATAAATATAAGCATTTTGAAAAATTAAATTGATTACCTCTTTGATATTATTGCTAATTGAAGTTAGTTTTTATAGTTATTGTTACAGCTGTTCATATTAATTGGCTATTTCATTTAAATTTATCTTTTTTACTTCAAGACTGGCTTACTAATCTATCATATCAGAGCTCACTTTCACGTTTAAATTTGCTAAATCGGCAACTCTGTTTTTTAAATCTATTACTTCTGGTAAAACAGCAATATTTTCAGCAAAGCTAGGCTAATTTAATGTTTCTTGAAGTTACTATTAACTATTAAAATTAAAAAGAAATAAAATTTAATTCTAATTTATATTTTTATTATATTTTATATTTACTTCTATCCAGGGAATACTTTTTAAACATCAATAGTTGCAAATTTTTGCTTTTCCAAATCCTAATTTATGGTTTCTTTTTTTTCTTTAAATTGTTCAAGCAAACCGCTTTATTTTTATTAAATATAATTTTAAAATATTCTTTTGATATAATTTTTATTTACTCTGCAAATGGAGGGTTCTGTTAAATCATTTAATTAATGGTAGTTATTAAGTTAATAAGAGTTGAGTTTTGTTCCCAGCGGAAGTTGGCTTCATACATGAATCTAAGAGTTGAGTCATTAACATTTGCTTGAATATATCTCTTTCTTAAAAATACTGAAGGTTTACTTCTAGGAAAATCAAAGTCAAGCTCTCTATGAAATAGATAAAACAAATTAACTATGAGATACATTAAAATGCTTAAAATATGAAATAATTTTACATTTTTATTGGAATTTTAAAATTTGGGATATCTAACTCCATATTGATAACAGTTTTTCTACCTACTTCAGATGGGAATTAGGGTTGAACAATCTAGTATGGAAATCTTTGCTTTAATAAATCTAGTTATTTTATAATCCTTTAAAAGAAATGTTTAATCATCTTAATTTTTAAAACTATTCGAAATATTTTGACTAATATCGAAAAAATAAATAAATTAATAAATTATTTACTCTTAATTTTGAACGCTTGCTGTATCTTATCCTTTGTTCAAATTTTATTATGGGTTTTACTACTTTTATTGCTAATACTAGTTATTATATTAATTGTAAGGCTACTATTATTAATTTTAAGCTTGAGGCTATTATTGTTGCTGTTATTATTACTATAGCTAAGGCATATTGGGGTTATATTAATTATAAGCCTACTACGAATATGGATTATATTAATTTGGCTACTATTACTACTGCTACTACTATGCGTAAGGCTGTTATTATTACTAATAATTGAATTGATTGTTTTAATATCCTATTTGATTTTATGCATATGGATTATATGGATTATTATTATTTGTATTTTAGTTTGATGCTGGAGCCTTTGGCAATGCCATAGGTACAACATTAGGATTTCCGTATTAATAATTATAGTTCATATTTATTGCTAATTAAAACTCGAATTTTAACTTTCTAGTTTGCCTTTTATTGCTGATCTATCTTAACCCTATTAGATTTAGATTTCTTTATATTAGTTTAATTATTTATTTTTTTGTATGAATAATCTTTATTCTTCAAAAAGAATATATATTACCTTTCAATTGATTAAGTATTCCTTCTTATCATTTTTACATATCAAAATGCATCAAAAGAAAGTAAAAAAAAAAACATTGAAGATCATTTTGAGTATATTCAGGTTTAAATACATACATTTACACATAGACTCTCTTTTTTTTGTTCTAAATAATCATTTTCTAAATGCTAATAAAAAATTGAGTGAATTATTGCAGTAATAAATATGAGTTTATATTTCGTTTCTTAACAAAAATTAATTAGTATAAATTTCACCATTTTACTTTTATTAATATTTCAATCATTAAATTAAATTTCAAAATAATTATATAAGAAATAATTAGAAAAAATGAAAAGGGAAAGGGTAACCATATTTTAAAATTTTAAATATTTAATCAGTTCGCTTTATTAAAAATTTATTTATTGAAATTTTTCTGCTCAGTCAATTAAAATTTACTTATTAAAAAATAAACTAATTCTTAATTTCTATTTTATTATTTCAAATTAAATGATTAAAGCGATTATTTGATAATATTTTCTATTCCATAGCCATACTTTTATTTTCATAATAAAATAGAAAAATATATTTTATTAGTAAAACCTTTTTATTTATTTAAAATGCGTTTTTAGTAAAAAATTTTATTTAATTTTAAATTTAAACAAAGAAAAAATTATAAAAAAGGGAGCCTGTAGCCGGATTCGAACCGGCGGCCTTCTGCTTACAAGGCAGATGCACTAACCACTGTGCTATACAGGCTATGTGATATATTTAATTAAAAATTTACAATGAGTTAAATTGGCTGTAAATTAAAATTTTTCAATTATTTTATAAAAGTATAAAATCATATTAACCTAAAACTTAGTCAGAAATTTTAAATTATTTTAAATTCTAAAATTTGAGAAATTCTCTCAATAATTTTATTACAAAAATAAAAAGGGAGCCTGTAGCCGGATTCGAACCGGCGGCCTTCTGCTTACAAGGCAGATGCACTAACCACTGTGCTATACAGGCTATGTGAAAGTTTAAATATTTATTTTTGAAAACAATTAAAATAGATATGACGAGTATAAGTTAAAATAAATATGAAATTTATTTCTATTTGATTTTAATTTATTTTTAAAATGATTTTTGCAAAATTTCAAATATCTTAAGATTAAATTATTTTATGAATTTATATTTTTAAAATAATTAAATTGAAAAACAGCTAAGTAGTAACAGTAAAAATATCAACACTAAAAATTAATTCGAAAAAAATATATATTGAAAATAAAAAAAAGATTCTTAAAAAAAAATATTAAATATATTAAATTCTAAATAAGAATGATGCAAAATAAAAATATATTAAATATATTTTTTTGAAGATATAAAATGATCACATAAGCTTTTTAATAAATTATTTTTTAATTTTACTCTAAATAAATAATATGTATCTACAAAATATTCTTAAATAAATCTAGAATATATACTTGAAATATTAAAATATTTTTTAAAACTTTTACTTAAGATTATTTAAACAGGTTCAAAAATTAATAAACTGATATTTTATTTATTTATTATGCAAACAAATGTTTTCATGTTAGTATCATGATTCCGATTCTTCAACTATCCCAAGCAAAAGCTGAAAAAATTAAGTTTACTTAAAGAAGCTCTTAAAGATAATTGTCAGTCATTTTATATTGCTTTCTTATTCCTAAATATCTTATTAGATTTAAATAGGGTTTTTTTTTTAATATTTTAATTATCATTAATATTATTAAAACTATTAAAGGACTGTTAATCAATGATCAATATTAGTAATTCTTATTATTAATTCTCATGTTTAAACTCTATAAAATGATTATTCATTTATGATTATAAGTTTAATTATCAAATATCTTTTTTACCTAAAAATTATTTACTAATTTTTTATTAAAATTTATATTAAGATAATAAATTTAATTAAGGTTTTCTATTGGTCAAAATTTACTTTATTAAAACATAAAAATATTTACTTTTCTTTTATCAGACATATTAAAAAATATAAAAATTAAATTTATTTTGGTTATTTATTCATTTATTGTTTAAAAATAATTTTAATATTTTATTTATGAAAAAAAATTTTAAGTTCATTTTAACATTATTAACAATTAAATATTTTAAAAAAAGGGAGCCTGTAGCCGGATTCGAACCGGCGGCCTTCTGCTTACAAGGCAGATGCACTAACCACTGTGCTATACAGGCTATATGATAATTTCTAAATCAAATTTTGAAAACAATTAAAATTAATTTAAAGTAAAGATTAATGAAGCATATTAAAATAATAAAATAAGTTTTTTAATTTAATTTTTATTTTTTGTAATAAATAATATAAAAATAATGTTTATTTTTAGAAAGATAATTCAAGTTATTGTAATTTTATTTTTATATTTTAAATATAAATAAAAAGGGAGCCTGTAGCCGGATTCGAACCGGCGGCCTTCTGCTTACAAGGCAGATGCACTAACCACTGTGCTATACAGGCTACGTGATATTTTTTAAAACAATTTTCGAATGCAATTAAAACTAATTCCTTGTAAATTATATGAAAATTATAAAGTATTTAATTTCTGCATGAAAAAATAAAAGTTATGTGATTTTTTATATTTTTTAAATGAAATCAAAAATTATTTTATAGATGATTTTATTTATAATACAACAAATATAATTTTTTTAAATTTATAATTTATTTTTTTTGATTGAAAAAAATAAATAAAAAAGGGAGCCTGTAGCCGGATTCGAACCGGCGGCCTTCTGCTTACAAGGCAGATGCACTAACCACTGTGCTATACAGGCTACGTGATAGGTTAGTCAAAAAATATTAAATTATTTGAGGTAAAACAAAACTAATTTTGAATTACGCCTTTTTCATGAATTAATATCAAATTTTAGTTAAGCTTTTTTCTTCATCATTAAAATTATATTGAGCATGAAGACTTAAATTTGAATTTATTTTTTATAAAATAAAAAAAAAAGGAAGCCTGTAGCCGGATTCGAACCGGCGGCCTTCTGCTTACAAGGCAGATGCACTAACCACTGTGCTATACAGGCTATATGATTATTTCACTTAGTAACAATAAATTCTTTTCTATCGCAAATCTCATTAAGCTCCATTTGAATGATTATTTATTTTAATCTATTTGAATTTGAATTAATTCAAAATCAGAATAGCGATGAAGTTAATTAGGATTAAAGTAATAAATTATTTATATAATCATAATTTCAAGTATCATATCACAGGATTGCCATAGATTTATTAAACATTAAATTTATAAAAAAACTAATATAAAAAGTATGATAAAAAGAATAATTTATTTGTTGTAAAGGTAATTTATTTTATTTAAAATTACATGAATTATTTCAAAAACAAAGTATTTTATTATTTAAATTTATAAATTTTTTTGATAAATCAAGTTACAATAAATATAGATGGAATGCTCAGATCATTATATCGATCGATCAATTTAAACATGTAAAAGTGTAAAAATAATATAAGAGAAATTAAAATTAAAATTAGTATTTATATATTTATGATTATTTTTTCAAGGTATTTTTATTTTATTATTATTGATTATTTATTTGTTTTTAAAAGTTGTAATCAAAGTCTGGGTTGTGCAGGAACTAATTATTCTACTTCTGTTTTGCCATCATGACTATAAAGCATATCAATAACTGGTTTAAATACTTTATTAGCAATGTGTCTTTACATTTTCATTGATCCAGTCAAACAGCCATGAGTTTGTAAGGATTCAGGCTCAAGATAAATTCTTTATGCCTATTCGAAAGTAAAGAGACCTTCCTTTTTACCATGAGCTAATATATTTTTTTAGTAGAATTATATAATTTTAGGGTTAGCACATAATTCTCTTAAGTTGCGATTAGGATCAACATTAAGTTCTGCAGCAATCTTTTTAATTTCTTCAGGGTTGGGAACAATAATACCAATACAGAAGTTTTGGACAGAATCTCCATAGAGAAAAGCTTCAGCAACACCTCTAGCTCTAACATAAATATTTTCAACTTTTTCAGGTGCAACGTATTCACCTTAACTCAATTTGAAAATATTTTTCTTTCTGTCAATAACTTTAAAGGCACCATTGGGTAACATGACTCCCTATTAATATTATTTAGATATTCTTAATTAAAGGATTATTGGAATAAATTTTTAATTACAATATCTCCAGAGTGCATCCATCCTTCTTCATCAATAGTTTCCTTTGTCTTGCTGGGCTATTTGTAATATTGTTAGAAAATACTGGCACCACGAGTGCAGATTTCACCTCTAGGAAGAGGATATCCTTACTCATCCTTATCAGTTGCATGATAGTTCATTTCTGGGACATCAACAAGCTTCATTTCCAAACTTGGTAAAATACCACCAACATGTCCTGACTCAGGATCAATTGCAACAGTCAAAGACTTAACACCTGTAGCTTCAGTTTATCCATAACCTTCTAAGACTGGGCAGGAAAGAGCAACCTTGTAGAATTCAAGGACTTTACGAGAAATAGGAGCAGAAGAGCTTAAAAGAATTCTCATCTTTCCACCAAAGAATCTCTTAAGTTCGTCAAACATTAAACTATAAATTTATAATAATAATTTTATTTTTTCAAGTCAAAATAATTTTTTTAAGTTTACAAAAAAAGAAAGAAGATAGATAGAGAAATAGATAGATAGAAAAGAAGAAAGAAGTTGTATTTATTTATTTGTTAATTTAAATGTTTTGGCAAATTTCTATTTTTTTTTTATATTAATTTTTCTAATATCTGAAATACTAAATTATTTTGAGAGTAACTTCTACTAATACTTTACTTCTTTTCTTTTAATTTTTGAGTTAATAATAAGTAAATCAAATTAAAATTACTAATCTAATGAGGCATTGTTGTATTGTCCCTTTTCTTATATATCGATGAGCTTTGTGGCAATAGCAAAATCTATTTCAGTGTCACTAAATCTTCTTCTTAAATGAGTCATACAGAAGTCATAATATCTGTTAAAGAGACGAGGAACAGAGATGAAAACAGTAGGTTGAGCAGCTTGGCAATCTTGAAGTAAATTTTAAGTGTTACCAGAGTAGAAAGCAATTCTGCATCCAGCGTACCAGCAAGTGCAATTAACGAAACGCTCAAAAATATGTGGGAGAGGTAAGTAGGATAAATGGGTATCAGTTTCAAAGAATCTAAAATCACTTAATTATTGAGTAGTGATGGCAGCAACTACATTCTTATGAGTGATCATAACACCCTTAGGATTACCTTATAAAATAAAATAAAAATATTATTATCTTAATGCTTTAGAGTAAAATATAACAATTGCTTACCAGTTGTTCCTGATGTATAGGAGAAAGTAAAAATGCTTGAAGGTAAAACAGGTCTCTTAGGAGAAGGATTTTTCTTTCCTGCTTCAATAACTTAATTTAAGAAGATTAAATTGAGTCCCTTTTGCTTGACAATCTATTAGAGCTAAAGAGGAACTTCATCGAAAGAAATAATAGTTTTTAAATTATGGAGTCTCTTCCTATTTTTAAGAAAGTTAAAATAATTTATTTTAAGAATTTGCATATTTAATTGGTTTGTTTGTATAGATAAAAGGCATTTGAGATGTGTGAGTTTGCATTTTAGAAATGTGTTGTGGCATATTTTTGAGTTGTTTATTTGTATTCATAAATTTAATGGTAGTTTAAAAGATACAATAGTGATTGATTGATATATTAATTTAGTGTTGGTTGAGATATAGCTTAATAAGTTCATTAAAAGTTTTAAATGATATGAGATTTATATTATGTATTATACTTTGTGAGTAAAAATATTCAATAGCATATTAATCTAAAATTTTTAGAGCGATATTACGCAATAAGATTGAAATTAGAAGAATTCTAATTAAATTATCAATAAATATGCTTCTCAATTTAAATAGTCTGTAATTAATCATAAGAGAATAAGATAAAACTATTGCTACTATTATTTTATCAATAATTAATGTAAATTTTAATATTCGATTACTAATTTACTCAGAATAATTATTTTCTTGTTAAAATTCTTTTCTAAAATAATAATTTGGGTCTGATAGAAAGATTTAATAATGTATTTTTCTTTGTTTATTATTTTACCAATTTTTGAACTCAAAATCTTTTTATGATATCATATTATGATATATAGAGAAAAAG